TTCGCTCTTGTACACGAAAGTGTGCGAAGTGGACATACCCAGAGTTTCTCGACTGACCAGTTTGGGCTCCCGGTAGGTTTTCACTTGAGGGATGCTGGCCCAGTCAAGCCAGAGAAAAGCACGCTGCAGTTTGGCACGCTGCTGCTCAGAAAGTATCTTCACTTCCCCGAAGAACTGAGAAGCCGCATCGTTGGTGACTGTGATGCTGCCGTCACAGATCCAAGGCAAGCACTGCTGCAGGACCTCCAACTGGTGTCCGTCAGGATCTGGATGTGAGTTTGAGATCCACTGGTGAGACACAAAAATGCAATAATCAGATACGCTTCTTCGATGAAGGAGGCCCTTGGCTTGCAACTCCTCGTGATTCGGAAGTGGCAAGTCCAGCATGAGAAAATCAGAAATCTTCAGCACCCACATGGTAATGGATGGCTCCACCTGTTTCTGAACTACATTTGATTGGCAACCTCCCATTTGGGAGGGCCAATGAAGATTGTTACATATAACAGTAGCTGCACCCTGCTGAAACGCACAGCGATCAAATCCAGCAGATTCGAGCCTGCCGCTGCTGGTCGTTGGTCTCTCTGCCCAGGCCCGTGTATCGACAACGTGCTTTGGGGGGACGAAGCATCGGAACGGGACACCACCCTGTTTCGTGCCCAAGGGGGTCAAACATACATTGGGGGGCCAAAATCGCTGTGTCAACGTCAAATGAGTGCCACTGACAGCAATGCAGCCAAGGCATTGTTCTTCCTGCCCAACCAACAACCACAAAGTATTGAACAGTTGCAGGCACTCCGCCATGAAAGGTTCCAACACCTGCGCAACAAGAACAAGAGCGAAAACAAAAAGAAGCGCAAAAACAAGAAGGGAGGCAACAGCAACAGCAACAGCAACAGCAACAGCAACAGCAAGAACCACAACAACAACAACAACGACGACGACGACGACGACGACGACGACGACGACGACGACGACGACGACGACGACGACGACGACCACAACAACAACAACAACAACAACAACAACAACAACAACAACAACAACAACAACAACAACAACAACAACAACAACAACAACAACAACAACAACAACAACAACAAGAACCACAACAACAACAATAACCACAACAAGAACCACAACAAGAACCACAACAAGAACCACAACAACAACAACAACAACAACAACAACAACAACAACAACGACAACAAGAACACAACAAGAACAAACAAGAACCACAACAAGAACCACAACAACAACAACAACAACCACAACAACAACAACAACAAGAACACAACAAGAACCACACAACCACACAAGAACCACAACAACACAACAACAACAACAACAACAACAACAACAACAACAACAACAACAACCACGACGACGACGACGACGACGACGACGACGACGACGACGACCACAACAACAACAACAACAACAACAACAACAACAACAACAACAACAACAACAACAACAACAACAACAACAACAACAACAACAACAACAACAACAACAACAACAACAACAACAACAATAACAACAAGAACCACAACAAGAACCACAACAAGAACCACAACAAGAACCACAACAACAACAACAACAACAACAACAACAAGAAGAAGAAGAAGAAGAAGAAGAACAACAACAACAAGAAGAAGAAGAACAACAACAACAACAACAAGAAGAAGAAGAAGAAGAAGAACCACAACAACAAGAAGAAGAACCACAACAAGAACCACAACAACAAGAAGAAGAACCACAACAACAACAACAACAACAACAACAACAACAACAAGAAGAAGAAGAAGAACCACAACAACAAGAAGAAGAAGAAGAAGAAGAACAACAACAACAACAAGAAGACCCATCTGGACTTCGCCCGGCGGTCCGTGACGGTGGTCCCTGTGACAGCTGTATCACCAGGCAACTCCCCGAAAGAAACACTCCAAGCCAAGAGGAAACTTGGGGTCAAAACCCAAATCGTACCCCCCAGTGAACATCCCAATCCTCACTAAAATAGGTTCTAAAATGGGTGGTGAATTCACCTACCAACCAAAATGGGATCCCAAAACGGTTTTGACAACCACAGCCATCTTGCCTAGACCCCTGGCAAAAGGGGAAGCTTTTCTCAGTCGCTTTCTGCTCCCCTGCTAAAAGTTTTCAACTTTCAGTGCTTTAATACGGAAAACCCATTCGTTGGCAAGAAACACTTTGAGTGGTTTAATACGGAAAACCCATTCGTTGGCAAAAAAATGCTTTGAGTGGTTTAATCGAAACCCATTCGTTGGCAAAAAAATATATTTGAGTGGTTTAATACGGAAAACCCATTAGTTGGCAAAAGCAAACTTTGAGTGGTTGCATACGGAAAGCCCATTCGTTGGGCCAAAAAAAACACTCGTCCTAACATCCCTTGGCTTAAAATGCGCCAATGTCTTCTTCGGCCGACCAAAAAAACTTCGGCGCCTGCGGCCGACTCTTCGCTTTCTTCGCTTCGAGGGGCCACGGAGGTGAAGAGCACGTGGCCCATGAAGACGTCGATGCACAGCATGGAGCCAAGCATCATGTACAGGATCGACATGCCTCTGGAGAAAAACAAAACGGAAATCAAAAATCCGTTTTTTGTTTGGTCTTGTTTGGCTTTTTTGAAATCCGAGATCCCCCAATCTTTCTAGCCTCTCCGGCCTCATTTTTCGAGGATCCCTGGTTACGAAGCCTCATAGGTGAGCTCCGTCTAGGTCCTCCAGAGAGGTTAGAATACACAGGCACCAACTGGTTTTTCGGGATTACTATTTTGATAGGGGAGCACTCCCAACAAAAAAGGGGAAAGAAGGGCACTGGGGGGCCTAGTCTTGTTTGGTGCCTGGTCTTGTTTGGTGAAGGAAATCCGAAAAAACCACCTGTGCATTCTTTTCGTGGGGGAGGAGCTGTGTCTCCAAAAGCAACAGTAGATGAGGTTTTTCAGGAAATCTTCGGAAATGAAGCCAAACCCCTCCCTCTCACCGCCTCACCCCCTCACCTCCCGCCTCACCCCCCCACCCCTCCCACAAAAAGACGCCTGGTCTGGCCATGTCGGCCCAAAACCCCCAAAACAAAATAAACCGAACTTCCAGTAAACATCCCAATCCCCACTAAAATATTGACTAAAATGGGTGGTGCACCTACCCCAAAATGGGATCCCACTCGCGTTGACCCACGGAACCACTTGAAGGTCTTCCCTCCATTTGCGTTTTTCTGACCCCTGGGGACAATGAGAAAATACTTGTAGTGAATTCGATTCCCTTTCAGACCAGGGGAAAAATACAAAATACTCATTTCACCAAATGGAAGCCAACCTTTCGGGCGCTTGGCCCTGGCTCCTTTCCTCAGCTCCGCGCTGCAGTTGCAGGCGATGCACTCGGAGCGCCTCCCGAGAAAAAGCGAGGTGGGATCGGATCGATCCCTTCCCGGAAACGGGATCCGGGTGCAGGAAAGACACTTGCCCAAAGGACCTGAAACAAAAGGCGAAGCTTTTGGAACCTTGACCAAATATGGATCCTTACATGAAAAACACCGATCGAACCTTGCAACTTGTAAATGGTATCCATTTCTTTATTCTGGCGTTGAAAAAGCCACCATGTTTCAAATGGTGTTGCAAAATGGGGATTTCTTTTTTCGGGAGCCCTGCAGAAACGGGGGGAGGTCTGGGCAGCTGGGCCAAGGAATCCCAAATTGGACGGGAAGACCCCTCGCCAATGTCCATGGCCCTATTAACCGCGAAGAGGATAGTTTTGCCCCAACCGTCTACCTCCAGATTTAAGGGGGTTCAGTGGAATTCCTGCTTCCTCCCTGCTACCTCTTCCCTGCTTGTTGGCTCCCTGATTTCAGGGTTTTAGGGTCAGCGCCGGACAAAAACTACCAGATGTTCCTCCGTTCGGGACAATTGAGAGCAAAGATTTGGTCCAGATGAAGAATCACACCCAAGTCACCTTCGACAACAGGAATCAATTTAACACCACTCCAATTAATACACTCTCCCTCCCGCTCACATACAATCTGACAGGGGGTTCCTGCAAGACGGTGATTGTTTTGTTCAGATTCCCTCCTGTCCTGCAAGTTTGAGGAACCAATTTCATACCACTCGGTATGAAATTGATGGCAACCTAGCGTTCACGTGGCTCTGAATCAGCATTTGAGTTCGAGCTCCTGGTTTTTAGGTTTTTTTTCAGTCGTCCCCGCTTTTGTGCTACCATAGGTGGATATTTTGACCCAACCCAAACCCTGCAGGGTGATCTATATATATATATAGCATGCTGTTCTGTCTGCCTCACCCGGGGATGCCATACGATGGTCTCTGGGCAAATTGCAAAACATCACCAGCCGAAACATCAGGGAATCCAAATGAAAGAAGCCTTCGGATGACGTCGCAAAAACTGAAAAGAGTTTTGCAAGATCCCGAGTTCCCCTCGTTTTAGTTTTGGTTTTTTGGGTCCGCCACCAGCCTCCAATAAAAGGACCCGAATGGTACTGTGGATGCTTGCGAGATCCACTTCGCACCCTTCAGAAACCCCAACTTTCCGATTCCGATCAAAAAAAAACCAACCCAAGCGAAACCGCCTTTCAGAAACCCCCCGTGTTTCCTGAACATTCCCCTACAAAAACCAACAAGAAACAAAAACCAACCGAAACCGCCTTTCAGAAACCCCTGGGTTTCTGAGAATTCCCCTACAAAAACCAACAAGAAACCCCCGGCTTTCAGCCCCCCCCCCCCCATCGCTTCCCGGCGCGCGCGGCTTGGATTTGGGTCTTCCGGACCCCCGGGGCGCCGCGCCAGGGCAGCGGCGTGCAGCGGCTGGAGCAGAGGGAGTCGAAGCTCAGGCCCTGCATCACCGGGAAGACCACGTAGATCTCCCCCAGGAAGCAGAACCTCGCGATCGATTTGTCAGGTTTGGCACCATGAGATATATATATATATATACTTAGTCATTTATTTATTTATTTATTTATTTGTAGATTCATTTATATATATATATATACGTATGTATATGCAACCCCAAACCCCCTCATGGACCCTGGTTTTAGTGTCTTTTGGGGATGATAAATCTAGAGTCTAGAGATGTTAATCCTCAAAATTTCCGAGTTTCGGCCCCCAAAGCCTCATAGTTTGGAGCCCGGAGTCCTCTAAAATGTCCGAATTGACATCCTGTCCAAATAGGATTTTACTTCAAATAGATTTGGAATTGTGAATAGAATTCAGCCAGGATAGGTTTCTAAGTTTGTTTTTATGTCATTTAGAATTTCAACAAATAAATCCTTTCCAAATTGGAGTTAAACTACAATGTAAATGAAATGTGAGGTAAAAACCAACGAATCTCAATACATGTTAAACAGGAGTCGATTCCCAAATATAGTTTAAGCTTTAATTTCAATCTAATATGAACATAATTCAATTGCTGTTTCATAAGAGTAATTAAATAGACTTACTTTTCAAATAGAATTCTCATCAAATAAGGCTAAACAAGGAAAAACAAAATAGGTTTGTGATATTTGCATGGCCCTTTTGTAGCATAAGAAAGGTCCGAAATTCCACTTGTTAGACGGTCTTCCAAAATCGAAACTTCAGGGGGTTAAAGGTTCAACTTCTAAAACTATCTCGAAACAAAGATTCTAGGTAATCAGTTGTATCTAAAGCCTTATTTGGACAACACATTTATAATTCATTCTATCTCAAATGGCGGAGGTAGTAGATGAGCAGATGTGGACAAATAGTTTGGGGGGGGGGGGGGGGCGATGGAGTGTGAACATATATATATATATATATTATTATACACATACACGCATATATAGTACCCCTCATGATCCTGCGCCTCTTTCATAAAATGCCGCAAAATGCGGTGTTGTTGTTTGCATTACACCTGCCTTTGCTTACCTGGAACAAGGGTCAACAGAAGCACAGCGTACATGAAGCAAAATGCTCAAAAGAACTTGAAAGTGTCGAGAACTGCTCATTTGGAGCTCCAGAAGCGACATTTTGAAGACAGTCCTGGCAGTGGCCGTTCGTTGATAAATATTTCGCTGGATCGCGGCAGGCACTTGAAAGTATTTTACTGCTGGAAGATTCAAGGTTGAACATTGCACAATACACTTTCCTGAGAATCGTCAATCCTGGCCAAACCCAAACAACGTTCAAGTTCTTCTAAACACTTGAAAGTGCTTTACCACTAGATTGAAGATTCAAGATTGAAGATTGCACAGAAAACTTTCCTGAAAATCGTGAACCCTGACCAACCCAAACAAGCTTTCAAGTTGCTCTAAAACCTCAAACGTATTTTATCACTGGATTGAAGAATCAAAATAGAAATCTTTCACGGAAGGAGTTTTGCGAGAATTGTGTCCTCGCACTTTGAATCCAGCCATTGCGGCAATTTGCAGGGTTACAAATAAAATGCATGTGACTGCAGACGTGCGCATACTTGGTTGCAGAAGTATGTGTTGGACACCTGCAGTATTGGATAACACCGGATGTGTAATTTTGTAAAACAAGAAATATGGGATTCAAGATTCAAGATTCAAGATTACCAAAAAAACTCAGATTGTTGAATCTTGAATCCCACAATGTTTATTTTATGTTACTTATGTTTATTTTATTTTATTTTTTATCAAGTGTTGTCCCAATACTCTTAGATGCATGCAGACTCTGTCAAATGGCAGACGTTGATATCATTGCGCACATTACATATGTATGTATTTATGTATATATACATATGGCACCCCCCCCCACGCCCATTTCGCGCCACAAAATCAACAAGGCAAGAAAGGGAAACAGCTCAAACTGACCAAACCAGGGTCCAAGGGGGGGGGGGGTACCATGCATACATACACATATATATATATATATATATATGTATGTATACATATCTGTGGTATGCAATCAGGTCCTCCAGTAGAGAGGATAGAATAAGGGCACCCTTTTTTCAGGACGTCTATTTTGGGGGAACCCTCCCAACCAAAAAAGGATAAAAGGGCACTACTGGGGGACCCAGGCAAGAGTAACAGGACTCTGGATGTTGAATCTTGAATCATCCAGTATGCGGCACCCAAACGCTTTACAGCTGTTTTCAGACAGGTAGCTCATGGGTTCAAGATTCAAGATCTAGATTTTTGGAAATCTTGAATCTTGAATCCTAGATCCGTCTGCTTTCAGTCATCCTGGTTGCTTGTGCGCCTTAACATCCTTTGGACTTGTGGGAGGCAAATACAGTTGATAGTTCAGAATATGGACATTGGAGAATTAGTTCTTCAAAAAATGGCTTAAAGAAATCCGCGCCAACCCTTGGATATTGAAAAAACACGGTAAATACCGGTATTCTGCATGCTTCCTAGCAGCTGTTGTGCAGAACAGACTTCGTCGAGGGAAGCTAGCTATTTCAGACAGCGTGGCATTGATCGAGGCCTGCAAGATGTGAGCAAATGTCTTGGTATTCGTCAAGGTTTGTGAGCTGACGGACGAATGGGATTTGCAGATGAGTTGAGATGAGAGACGGAAGAGGCGTTGCAATCCTTTTAGGGGAAATAGATGGCCTGGTAGATGATTAAGCCACCAGGTAAACCAGGGCCATCTATTTTTCTAGCAACACAACCAAAAAGGACACCTATGTTCGCAGCTGTTTTGGTTTTGGCACTTGCGATGAGAAACCGAAGATGCATAGGCGAAGCAGAAGAGGTATTGCGTGCCTTATTTGTGACACCCTTGCCAGTACCCTCACAGCGACGGTTTACAGTCAATTGAGTAAGGATAACATTAATTATTGAAATAGACTTAGTTTATGGCCAGAATATGTATGAAACGATTGAAAACAAGGGTCTAGAAGAGGGATGACACAAACACGTTTTCAAGAAAGTAGAAGCAAATACTCTATATAAAAATATTGGTGGCAACGTCTTGATGAATCATCTGCGTAAGTCTGACAACAGTTGTGCCGTGCTGCATAATTGTATATATATACATGCATACATATGCAATCTGTGTATGTGTATATATATATAGAGAGAGAGATAAATTAATATATATATATATACCCATACATACATACACTTGTGCATGCCTTTCCGCATCCTAAAGCATCCTGAAGTACACAGAACCTATTGGGAAAGAAACCCTATACAACTTCGAAATCTAAAACTGACAAGCAACTTGAGTTGAGTTCTTCTTCCCTTTTCTACGTAAGTTCAAATTATTGGTGGAAAAAGCAAAAAAAAAAAACATCCCAGCCGCCGCCCGGATTTGCGCTTGCGCCGGGTCCCCGGCCCCATGACGCAGATCCAGTAGAAGAGCCGCTTCAGGAACGGAGCTGTGGCGCCTGGGAACGCGGCGGTCGAAAAATTCGATGACCCCCTTCAAGGCAAGCCCAAAACATCATGCAACATCATGACTTGTTCCTTTGACCCAGTACCCTCCTTAGGTTCTCGCGCCAGACCGGCCAGCGGCCTCCCGCGCTCCGCGCGCCTTCGGAGTCGAACTTGGGCTTCGGGTCCTTCGGCCCCTGGGGGAAGGGCTGCGAGGGCCGGAACCCCGGGATGGGCAAGTTGTTCCGGAGCCTCGGATATCAGCGGAGCGGACGGCCAAGCCGGGCCGGAGGGTCGGAGGGCCGGGCGCAATCCGTGGCTGCGGGGCTGCGGGGCGGAGCCGGGAAAAGCAGCCGCACCAAAACGCCTTCTCGAAAAAGGGAAAGAAGGAGGAAAAGAAGGAGAAAAGACGCAAAGGAAGGAAGAAAGAAGGACCAAAGGGTTCCCAAAACCACAACAGCCTGAAAACCAGCCCAACACATTTGGTGATGTGTGTTGAAGCCGGGGACCAGCTGGTGCTCCTCTTGAGTTGGCATGCTTAAGCATAGGACGGGGTCCCAGAAGCACCTTTCAGTATGTTGGTTTCCCTTCTTGAATGGTGGGTTTACAGCCCACTTGAAGCTGGACTCCAAAGAGAACCTGTTCAATGAACCCTCAAAATGAAGAAGAAAAAACAACACGTTGACAAGCTCCTCCAGTAGAGAGGTGCTCGAAAAAGGCTACCCACTTTTTTCGGTTTTGTCTATTTTAGTAGGGGGCACCTAGCTGGGGGACCTAGTTGAACCCAAAATCCTCGGGCACTCGCGTGCTGGGAGCAAGGGGCAGGGTCAGGTACACGGCGCGCCAGAGCAGGAAGCCAGGGCTCACCCACTTGGCCTCAAGAGGGGACTCGGTTGCTTTCTGCTCCCCTGCTAAAAGTTTAACTTTTAGTGGTTTAATGGAAACCCATTAGTTGGCAAAAAGTTACAGTCCTAACATCCAAGCAAATGCAACAAAGAGATGGTTGTCTGGGCCCCCTTTCAGTACGGGGAGCAGCAAGCAATAAATAAGAAGTTGGATATTGAGAAAGGACCGGCGCAGAATTCCCGACTGTACGCAACGGTTGTGGCGATGACGAGACATCAGCTTTCAACAGGGGTTGAAGATTTGCCACACGGAGATGTGTCAACATCGTTGTACTGATCCTCGGAAACCCGAGAAGGTTTCAGTGGGGTGTGGGCCAAAATCGAAATGGTTTCACCTGGGTTGAAACCCGAATTGACTTGGAACCACCAGGTGCACGGATTTCATCCAAGCGTATCTGTCAGAGGTAGTCTAAGGACCCCTCCCTTCATTGCAAGAAGCAGCCCATCCCCAGTAACCCCCGAAGCTCACTGGCAGCTCCGAAGCTTCCCACAGTTCTCGGGCCCATCGGCACCAAAGCTCACAGCTGTTGGAGAGAAAAAAACACTCACGGCCACTGCATGTCAGGACAAGGTTCCGACTCCGAGAAACCGAGCGAAATTACCGAAGGCCCCTTGGGAACAGGGGCTTCACACACACACACACATCCCAGGCTGAGACGGCTCTATCGACCACTTTTTATCATGGGCCCTTTTCAAGGATGCCAGGCAAAACGACCTCCCTCCCCAAAAGACCTCGGCTAGGGACGAAGAACCTCACTTCCATGTCCCCAAATGAGCCAAAGACTACACAAACATTTCACCGAAACACGTGGATGGTTTGGCAATTCGCCTCTAGGTCTGCAAAGGAAGGCCCCGAGAGTTTTCCAGGTCCGGCGTTGGTTTCCGTGAACGCCTCTGGGCCTAAGCCCAGAGAAACTTGGCAAAAAGCGCTGAGAAAAACGGTGAAAAGCCCGGTCAAAGCCTCGACCTGTTTGGGCGCTTTGGGGGATTCTCCCAACGTCAACGGCCTCTCCCCCGGCTGAAGATACTCCTTGGGCTTTAGGTTATCCTGCTTTCGGGAAAGTGTGGAAGCCCCAACTGAAAGCCAAGTACCTTCTGCGGGAAACCCAGTTGGGGTGGCTTGTTGATTTACCCCCCTCCCCCTTTCAAAAATCAAAACAAAGGTGCGGTCCTTTTGAGCTGACTATGTTTCCCCCTTAAACATCACACCAAGAACAAACTCAGCTAAGAGTGACTCCAAAGTTCATGCTTAATCGGGAAACCGAATTGGGTTGGAACCAGGCAAACCCGTTTGCGCGTCACTAAGTCTGGCGATTTTTTCCCGACTTCCCCGCTCCAAGCCACAATGTCTGTGCCAGCCATCGCCGTATCCAAGGCCACGACAGCCTCGGAACCAAATGCGGTTGGCGCCCTTTTTGTGGGCCCATAGGAAACCAACGGAAATCCGCCCCGTTGGGGTGGCTCCATTGGGTGTGTCTCATTTTGGAAGTTTTGGCCTATTCTGAAATGTTTACCCATTTAGAGACAAACCCAGATCTGGCTGAATTCTCAGAAGCCATCAGGCCGATTGCCCCGGTCCCAAGAGGGGAACTGAGTCACTTGCTCAAAGCCCGGTATTAAAATGGTCGTAATCCCAGAACCATGCATCAAGAATTCAGAAGGCGGAGATCCGCGGCTATTTCTGGCAAGGGGATCGTCCCTCCCTAAGCTTCACTTCGGGTCTCGATAGGTGACTCAACTGATCTTCCAGGTGCCCTCCCCGAGGCGCCGCGTGGGAGAATTTACCAATGTCCCAGTGGGAGCTCTGGAATCGCTTCTTCCCGGATCGGAGCTCAGAGTTTAGGAACTGCAAACGAGCCTTCCCACCAATCATGGAAGTGGGCAGGAGGGTTGGTGGAAGACTGCCGTCATCTTACTTACGCGAACCTCCTGTACACTTCCGTGCTTGTTGCAAAGGGGTCAGGGGTAGTATCACCCCCAGCACGCCCCAGTTGGCCCCCCTGAAAGTGTGCAGCCCCCCACCTCAGGAAGACTTCCGTTCCAGAGGCCTCATTGCCAGTCGCCACCCGCAGCGGAACCGAAACGCCGTTGCCGGCGGCCCGTCTTCTGCCTAGGTCCTCCAGATTTGAGAGGTTCGAAAATAAGTTGGAACCCAACTTTTCTCTTCGTCTATTTTCTGCAGGGGAACCCTCCCAACCCAAAGAAAGAGAGTTGGTATAAGGGCGCCCCCGCCTCGCTGGGGGACCTAGCGACCCGGTTTTGTTTTGTCTTCTTCGGCCGCGGGGCCACGGAGGTGACCAGGCCGATGAGGCGCTTCAGCATCTCGCAGCGCCGCGGGGCGGAGTTGTGGATGTAGCCCAGGTTCCAGACGGTGGCCAGCTCCTCGGCACCCGCGAAAGGGGGAGAAAAAAGAACGCCCACCGGGGGAAGGCGCGTCCGCTTCAAGCTGGGTCTCTCTCTCTTTTTTTTGGGAGGTCAGGGGTTTCTTGGTTGCTGGGGGCACCAGAAAAGGCTTGTCAACGTTGATCTGGGTCTCCCCTTTCTTTTTCGGGAGGGCAAGGGTCCCTGGGTCCCTTTGCTGGGTTTGAGGGGAAACTAAAAGGAAAACCTCCCTTTTCGTGGGCCAGGGATTTAGACACCAACGCCAAGAACGCCAAGGGCATCGACCCGTGGCCCAAAATGGGAGACACAAATGAAGCCTCAAGCCGCCTTGAAGCCTTCATATCCCTTTCCTTCAAGACCATTCTCTCGCGGGAAAGCTAGAAGAAAGAGACTCGCGACCGTTCCCGGTCTTTCAAGCTCTATATCACTCCATTCTGACATGAGTTCCTGTCACTATGACGAAGACTCACGATGGAACGGTCGTTACCTTCCTTCATCCATGGGTCAAAATCTTTGTCAACGGGGCTGACATGAGCAGAAGGAAGAGACTTGCAACCCATACAAAGAACCGGCCAGCGGACACTCATGTCTATCTTTTCACTTGCCAGGGGGCGCCAAAACCCGAACCAAGGCCACGTATTTTTTTTCAACACGGACCCAAAAACAAAAACCTTCTTTGGAGCTGCCTTTCCGGCGGGGCGTTTAAAACGGCCTCGTGACTTTGCAGATGTTCATATCACGGGCCCCGAAACCCAAGGGCTCTCTCCACTGAGGGGGCAAAACAAACAAAAATCGTGCGCTGGGCCACTGGAGGCCGCTGGGGCCCTTCTTCTGGCCCTTACCCTAGGATCAGTCAGCCAGTCTCGAGGTCGGCAAGGGTTTTCTGGGAGGAGCGTGGATGATGCGCCTGGGGATCAGGTTGATTCTCCTGCAAACTGTCCCTCTGTTCATCTGCGGAAAGGTGCTTGCGCAGTGCTGCAAACGGGTTCCAACAGATCAATCCGACAAAGACTAGCAACAAAGTAACCAGAAACGGCCCCTGGAGGTCTGGGAGTTCCGGTCCGACTGACTTCGAGACGAAAAGAATGACACCCCCGTCTGAGTAACATGGAACCCAAACGACCTCCATGTTTTTGTCAGGAGTCTCCTTTTGGGTGACCAAAAACCTGATTCCATGTTTCTTTGGGGGTGTCTCCTGAGACTACTGGAGTCAAAAATCGAACTTGGCACTAGAAGGGTCTACCCAAGCCAATATAAGAATTTAGAGGGCGACCACACCTGTTTGTGGCTGGGACTATCCCTTACTACACTTCATCTATGCAGGTTTTGATAGCAACTCAAGTGGCCTGCCAGTCAACCAAGGTTGAGGTTGACCAAGTCCCCAGATTCATCCATTCTGTTGAAACCAATTTTGGAAGCGTTCCCTTGTTTTGGCGAGCGCAAAGCCACCGTACGAGGTCTCGACAAGACAGCAGCACGCAGCATTGCATGGGTCAAGAAGGGTTCCCTTATCGCAGACATGGCAAGTGTGAACCCCATTTTTCCGAAACGATTTTTGGATGTGGCTCAATGCGGAACAAAAAGAACCAGCGCAGCGTACTGCTTACTGTTTGCCGGTTGGAAAAAGAAAAACTCAACTTCCCCAACTCGTTGGTGGTTTGGCTTGCTGGTCTGGTGCTGGGTGGTTTCCCAGTGGCCCGCAAGAACCAGAGGTTCAAACCCGACTGCCAATCCAAACCACCAATGTAGAGCCTGCAAGACCAAAAAGTCAACTTGCAGCAATCATCAATATAATTCATAGGAAAACAACTTCAGAGAACTCCCGCGCAGGGCGGAGTAAGGGTGCCCTCGATCAATCTGGCCGGATTCGATTTGGGGCATCCTATCCTCGGGAAAAAATACTAAAAAGAAAAAAACGGCAAACCCAGAACACAGTTCAGCTCTACGTTATTTGGCCCGAGGCTGGTGTTTTTCCTTATTTGAGGAGACCCAACAAGCTCAAAAGGCGAACAAATGTTCGCTCTAGGTCGTTCGTGTTGGCCCAAGGTGCCACCAATGCGAGGACCACGGCATGGTACCAAGCCTCGGATTGATAGCGGAGGGGCGCCAAAACCCGAGCTGACTCTTCGTGCCAAGAGTAAAAAGATCTATGGTGTCTTTTTAGGGGATCCCATCTTTTTGTTGGTCAAAGGGAAACCAAATCAACCCATATAGGCCTTACTCCAACCTGCACAAAAGTTGTAGAACCTAGTGGCCAACTGGGCGCTGCTTCTCGACTCTGTAACCCAGGTCCCCTTTCAGATGAACCTGGTCTTCCATGTGGGAGGGTAAAACTCAAAACTCTGGAGAACTTCCCCCGCTCCCCTCCCCCGTCGAAGGAAAGAGAAAAACGAAGCCCACCAAGGATGGCCGAGCCACTATTTTGGGGTCAACTCGCAATTCGGGTGATTCCCCCCCCCCCCAAATGTTGCAAGAGGGGGCCAGTAAAATCACCGCGATTCAGGATGGTTCCAGAGGGGTGCCTCAGTTGATGCCAGGCGGGTATGTGGGTTTCCCGGTAAACCAACCTGGAAATGGACCCCTCAAAACACACACGCACATAGATGTAACGTAAATATATATATATATATATAATACATATGTAGTTCTGTCCAGGGCCGAAATGCTGCCATGAATTGGGATCCAGGGTTGGGCGATTCAACACTTTGTGATATCCTGGAACCACTCTTGCTTCAACCGCCTCCTTTCGGCTTCCCCTCAAAGGAGACAAAGGCGGAGCTCCTGGATGGCATTTTTCCGGGAAACCAAAGAGGAGCCAACCACCTGAAAAAGGTCCACTGATTTTTGAGAAAGTCCCCAAAAAGACCCAAAAAAAACGCATTTTCAGGGCATCTTCAAGGGGGGCGTCCCTTTTTGGATGGCTTCAAAGGGAAACCGAAACGGACACCCACCACCTGCCAACCCCTGGCCCCCTCCGCTGCTGCCACCAGACCCAGCGCTGGAACAGCCAGAAGGGCCGCTTCGAAAGGTCCTGGAAGCGTTTTGGGCGGGCCCAGAATGTCTGACCCCGGATTCATAAACCCTTGTTGTTTTGTTGTTTTGTTGTTGCTGTTGAAAAAAAAAAAAAACGCACTCCAAAAGTGGTTTCATTCCCCACTAAAACCAGGGACACCCCCATATTTAATAAACAGGAGTTTTTTTTAAATCCGGGGGACAACATTAAGTCACCTTACCCGAAAATTCGTGGTGTGGTCTGGTGGTGTTGCTAGACCTGCCCCCATTTGAGTAATCAAAACCCGGCATCAAAATGGTCTACCCAGAACCACGTAAAGGATTAAGAGGCGGATATCCGCAACTATTTATGGTTGGGATTGTCCCTTACTAACGTTCATCTACCCGGGTTTTCATTGTGGCTCATTTGGTCTCAATACCCGAGGTCGCGTGTTTCAGAAACCAAACATGCTCCCAACTCTTGCGCACGTCTGAAACGGATCCCCCGATGGGAAGCAAATGAAAGCTCGGGTGTTCTTTCAGGCACCCCCCGAGAAGGGCATCAGCTTTTACTGAGCCAACCCAAAGCAACAGTTTGCTCTGAGGACCTTGGCACCTGGGAAATGCAACATGAGCGACAATGAGTCACACATCGAACGCAACCAGCAGAATTGGGGACGGATGCCCTAAAATAGAGCAAGGGAGCAAAGAAACAGATGATCCAAGTCGCCAAAACGTGCCCATGGTTTTGTGGTTGAGTGTGATTGGTGTGGTTGCTTGGCATCCATACCAGCAAACAATTAGGAAGACCCTTGTGGTGGTTGATCCAAAGTGCCATCCTCTAGGGGCAGGGAGGGGCCAACGGGTGCAGAGAACCAAAACGAGGAGCCGCCAGGCGCCAGATGGCCATGAATCAAAATCCAAATCGCACTTCCAGTGAACATCCCAATCCCCACTAAAATAGGTTCTAAAATGGGTGGTGAATTCACCTACCCCAAAATGGGATCCCATTGGTTTTGACCCACAGCCAGATGTCAAGCAGAATTTGGATTCCTCTGAGAAGATGCCGTAGGCAGCGACTCCAAGCATGCCTCAGGACGAATCGCTTGAGGAGACCAAAGACTGCACAACCAAAAGGCCCAGCCCAGACCTTTTTCAAGAACCGACAATTTTTATGTGCGGCGTGTTCTGCTAGCGAAGATTCTCAGAACTGTCTTCTGACCGAGGGTGTTCTTGGAAGGGTTCCTTTCAAGCCAGTGTTTCTGGCGCATGGCTTTCAAGCTGCATTGATTTCGTCCTCCCCAAGGACGAGTGCGTGTGTGTTTAGGGGTCCCCGAGTGTTTTGTGGGTTGGCTGCCAGCCAGCCCATCTTTCAACCATCAGGGTTTGACAAAAAAAAGATGCGAGAAAAATATTGGGCAGTTCGCCCAGGATCAACTATGCCACCCCTGGGACGGGTGGATTGCACAGCTGCGTCGTTAAAGCCTCAACTGTCTCGCCGCCTGAAGAAGATTTGCACCTTGCATTCACCTTGCACCAGGCAGCCCAAGGGCCTGAAGTGGTGGCTCCCTGAGGAATTGATGTCTAAAGCCCCAAACAAAAGTCCATGGCATTCCAAGCCATCCAACACCTCAACCCAATCCTGAGACATACCCATGCCACATACAGGAAAGTTGCAGGCCGCAAAAGACTCAAACGCCACGGTCTCTTACAAATTCATGCCGGTTCAGCAGGATCCCAAGCCTTTCCTGCCAAACATCCTACGATTGTCAAGGGTCAATCCCAAGCGGGGCGATTTGCGCGAGCTCCTCTTTGAGTGGGAATCTCCCCCTACAGCTGAACGGAAGGAGAAACCCCTCTACCCATCTTGTATCGGAATCTCCTTTTGGGGGGAAAGACCTCTGGTTTGGGTTCCTTCCGTTCATTAGAAGGGAAAATTGGGAAAGGATCACAGCGATTTGCCCTGGCCTGGGATCCGAGCCCTTTTCAGGAACCGCCCCGGAAACCCTCCACGATGCAACCAGTGGATTTCCAGGGGGAGAAAAAAGAACCGGTATCCCTTTTTAGCTAGTTGCGTTTCAAGGAAAAAAAGAGGAACCCTTCCCACCCAAAAGGTTGGAAAGGGTGGAATCCACTGCGCAACTGGGTCCAAAACATTGATATTTCCTCAACAGCTGCAAGCTTTGGGGTCTCAGCCCAGATAGGCTCCGGGGTGGTCCGGGGCGGTCCTGAGGTAAGGTTCCACGAGGGTTCCACCAAGGTTCCACCAGGGCTCCACCAGGGTTCACGAGGCTCTGCGGCTGCGGGGTGGTGCGAGCACTAAGAAAGAGCACCGCATGCTGGGGATATCACCTGAGCTTCTTAATTTTTTTTCGGGGGGCAAAACATCACCGGCCCTTCCGTGGGGTTCCAATGCGGGCTTGGCCCAGCCGCTTTTCAGCTCGAAGGCCGGCCGAAAGTCCAGGGCCAACTTCAGGCCCGCGAACATGCCGCGCCTCGGAAGGGTTCCGCCGGTGGCGCTTTTTGTTCGGCAGAGTGTTGGTTGGGAGGAGCCTTTGTGCGGACCTGAACAGGTACTTCGGTAGGCAAGAAGCATATGAAAGAAGTTGACCTTGGCACAAGCTAGTGGGCTCTTTCCTGCAATTTCATGCAATTTCAGGCCTACAAAGGGTATACGGTATATGTTTGGGACAAAGAAGTGGGAGACCAACACAAAAGGTTAGCTTCACTTTAGCAACTAAAGCTTGGCTGTCCGAATGACACATTCGAACCCCAGGGTCCGAATCAACCTCTGAAGGTCCCAGGAGTCTCTTCGGCAGACCTTTTGGATTCAAGAATCCGCTCCGGAGCACTTTTCTATCAGTGGATTCCTTGTCCCTTCTTTTCAAGCATCGGTCTTTTCAAAACCGGATCCGTTTCCCCTGGGGTTTTAAGATGGTTTCCTGAAAAGAAGAATCCCTGGAAAGAATGGGGAAGGTAGCCCTAGAACTTTGGAGGTGACCTGATTCCTGGCATTTCAGTTGACTTCTCCCCTTCCGACCTTCCCCCCCAAGGCCTGGGGTTGGGAACGGGATAGACTGGAGGTGAGATCGAGACCAGAGAGGGAAACCACGAGAAAAGAAAGATTTGGACAAACCAATGTTCCTCAAAACTAGCCTCAACATGGTGGGATAGAGGGCACACCGCCAAAAAAAGAAACTCGAAGAATGTCCTTTTGAGAACTCGAAATGCCACTTGGGGTGTGCGCGTGTTCCTGTTTGTTTTCCCTGTAAACCAACAACAAAACAACTACCGAAAAACTTCCTCCTGTGGTCTTTTCCCCGTTGCTCTCTCTTAAACACCACGTATGAGAAGGGGCGAGCTTACCCCGTTCCGAGGCCGCGGGCGCCGGGTAGAGCTTGGAGATGATGGGGCCCCTGTGGGTGCCTCGCTTGCGGCGAGAGACATCCAAGAGGAGTTGATGTGTTGGTTTTAAGAAGGAACTTGTTGGTTTCATGAGGAACTTGCTTGGCTGTATCAGGAACTTGTTGGTTTCAGAAACTTGTTCCGTGGTTGATGGACATGACTCCCCATGTTAATTGACTTGACTTGCCCAAAGAATCGAAACTCTGCCTTACCTGAAGTCCCAGAAGAGAAGAAATGAGCCTCAAAATGTTTGGATTCACTTTCGCAGGTTGACGTCTGAATCCAGAAAGAACCAGTTGAAACACTTGAAACTTGAAACGAGATCTGATTAGTTCAGGGTGGTGCCCTTGCCCTTTTCTGGTACGGAAAATGCCAACCCCGAAGAGAGAAGCTCACGGCATGCTCGCCGATCTGGCAAAAAACCTCCGCGTACCAGCTCGCTCTGGTGTAGAACCTTTACTTGCGGATCCAACTCTTACTTCAGCTTTTGGAAATGATGGTAAAATTCAGACGTTTTGCGCCACCCGTGGGGGTTGGAAATGTTTGCCATGGGTTCGCGGTTTGTCGAATGGCTGGTCCACTTGCTGGGTTCGAATATGTTCCAAGGATCTAAAGTCGAGAAGCTTCGAGCCCTTGGGACAAAGATTTTGACTTCCAGAAACTTCGAAGCCTCGGTTTACCTACACCTCATTCCCGGCTTAGTTGCTCCTTTTCGTCTGCTGGCCTCTTGCCAAGCGGCTGGGCTCCACCTATTCCCTTGGAACTGTGGCTCCGTCGGACTGGCCGCTTCTTGGCTTCTCTGAGATAGGCTCGGCTGCCTTATCGTGGTGCCCTTCGCAAGCAAAGGATTGCTTTCAAGCTAGCACAGCCTGAGCCACGTTGCTATTCCGACTCGTTCCGGTCAACATGGTGCTGATTCCGTTTCCTCTGGCCCCGTTCGACCTCCTCCTTCGTCTTCGCTTGGGCACCTGGTGGTCTGTATGCATGCAAGGGTATGCTGCTACTTTCTTTCGACCTGATCCACCTTTTGATCTATGGATGGTATTGACATCATGATCCACACGCCTCAGGAAGGGTGCAGAATGCTGAAGGCTCCTGTTCCTCAGGTTCCCCGTTTCTAGTTTCGTCTTTCTCTCTTCTTCACCTGTTCGGCATTCGTGTGTCGCACCTGGCGTGGTCACAAACATGTTAATGCGGGAGCAACGATTTCACATTGGTTCTGACCCTTTATGGAACATGTCGATTCGCCACCACTCACCGAAGATATATATATATATATATTCTCAGCGTCCCTTAACCTGACAACACACCTTTCGTCAACGAGGCAGACAGGTCCAACAGGCGCTACTTTTTTTGTCTGACTACCGCCTTGCCTTTTTGTTTGCCTTTTTACGGGCACACCCCCATCCGTTCCTTCCATGGCGAAGGATAGAATCCAGGACATATATCCACCAGCCTTTGGGACGAACGAGGGTTCCTTTCTTTCTCCGAGGACCTGGCAGTGCTTCAGCTTCCTCTCCAGCTCCTCCAGCGAGGTGCTCCCCAAGCGCCGCGGCACCTCCGCGCGACGGACCCAACCTCCCACAAAAGGAGATTTATCACGGCAAACTCACGTGGAATTCATATTTTACAAATTGGGTCCCCACAAAAGGAGAGTCCTCTGGATTTTTTTTCTGGAGATGATGCCCCCCGAATCAAGAAATCGTTTGGATAGAGCAATCTCCCACGTGTGTACAAACTCATCCGACCCCCTCCCCCTGATTTCCTGCAAATAACAAATAAGGCCTGGGTGAGCCCGCAAGTTAGGGTTTTCTTGGTTGTTGCAGAGTCCGGGGTTTGACGCTTGACCCACTCACTTGCCAAGTCGCCGCATCGTTGATGTCGTCCAAAGTGAGACCGCCTGAGCGAACACACACACACACACACAAGGCAAAAGAAGGGATGGCTGAGTTGAAACAAGTCAGACGTCGACCCCGCATTCGCCGGCCCCTGCTTGATTTTGATCGAGAGGTGTCCCTTCACACACCCTAGGACAGCTTTACTTATCTTCTCGGTAGGGTGTTCCCCGAAAAGAGGCCCCGTTACGCAACCAAAAGTGGATTGATCCGTCAAAAAGGACCCGCGCACCCTAAGAAAAATGGAGTTGTGCTCCTTAAATCCGACAATTGCTCTGTGCGAATTACAGAACACCAATCTGACACGAAATAAAGCCTCCCAAGAAAAGGAACCTTTCGCAAAATCGGTTTTGCTGTTGCGTCCATTTGTATCACGGCCCTTTGAACCCCCCGAGCGCCTCCCGCTTTGGGGGGGAAGATCGAAATTTTGCAAAAATCTGGGGGCAGCTTCCATTTTGGCGTCTTTTCAGCTTGTGGGGCGGCCAAAAAAAAGATCACACACGGCTTCCTGGCAATGAAAAAAGCGCAGCTTCCAGAGAATTAGCGAAAAAAGACGGCCACTTTGGCATCTCCACCCTTTGTTTTGCTTCCCCCCACTCCCCGGCCCAAAAAACCAAGCTTCCCACTAGTTGGTGGTTTGGATTGGTTTGGATTTGGATTTCAACCCCGGCTCTTCTGGGTAAATGGGGGCACCTCTCCTTAATCCGAGGATCGAAGATGGCTTCCACTACCCTCAAACCGCTACCCCCAAGGACAAATGGAGTATCGACCCCTTGTAGAGTTCTTGGGGTTGATTCCTCGTCCATTTGTTTCAATCATCGTTCTTTTCTTAAAAACCGGATCCGTTTCCCCTGGGGTTTTAAGATGGTTTCCTGAAAAGAAGAATCCCTGGAAAGAATGGAGAAGGTACCCATGGAAGAGTGGCTATCTAGAGGTTGTGTTTCCCATTCAAGCACTGGGGGGAGTGGAAGCCGTCTTCGGTGCAAGACACCTCTAGGCAAGAGGCGACCGGGCGAACCATTTGGAGTAACCCCGAGCAACCGTTTGACACACAACCAATATGGGGGGGGGGGGGGCGTTTTGAGGGTACCGCAAAGTTCAACTGGAATCCAAAGCACATTTGTTTTAGAGACAGCCCTATCTGGAATGGTTTCCGCCAATTCTGGGCCATGGTCTTGGCTTCAACCTGCTAAATGGTTGTTTACTCTACCAATCCCCGGATCCCACGTCTTTCCTAAATGGACTATCCCATGGGCTAGATTGCCGTTGAAGCGATGGAAGCAGTTGCCCAAGGGTTATAGTTGGGTTGAGGGCAAGCACTCCGAAATCGGTGATGATGCACTTGGCATGAAGCCTCAAATCAAGCAACCTTTTGCCTCCAACCAGAATACTATATTTCATTCTGCTCCATATTCAAGTGACCTCCCAACAAAAAAGACATCCCAGACGCACCCAAGCTATGTCTCTCACAGAAATCCTGCAGGCTTCCCTGTTTTGACACCATCCGCACGGGGGTCCTCCATCTTGTTGGGGAATTGTCTGGCGGTGCTTTCCCCTGTCTAAAGATGAGGCCAATGAAGCCAAATTGTGCCCATTGAATCGGTCTCTCTTGCGCGCAGCTGGGGGAGCGGGCGCGAATAGAATGGGTCGCTGTTGTGGATGTACTCGTCAATGATCTTGCCTGAATCTCATACCAGCGGCAGACAAAGGAACATTTTCAACGGTCGGGAGCATCACTAGGGTGTGTCGTCAAATGAGTCAAATGGGGGGGTGGTTCTTCGTTTCCCTTGAAGCATTGCCCTCCAACTGGTCCCAAGGGTTGGGAATTTCCTGCATGGGATCTCATTTGAAAAGGTTAGGAGGATCATGTTTCAGAGGGAAATCAAGAGTAAAACCACACTTTGCGCCATATTTGTTGCACCCCGCCGCCCATTTTGACACATGCCCTATCACGTACGTGACCAGAGACGGCCCTACTGGCGCGTCTTCCGTTTGACCACTCGTGTCAGAAGATGGGAGCCGTTTTGCTGGTTGGCCCCAAGGGTCTCCGAACCAGACTGCTGCGGCTTCTGAAGGTGAATAAGAGGAGCCCCACTTCAGGGAGCCCGTCCATTCTGAAGCTCCCAAGGGTTTCAGACAACCGCTAGCATTCCAGTGTGCGCCCAGGCATCCCCCGGCATATTTGATTCCCTCAGGCAGGGCCGGCCCCGTCTAGGAATGGTTTCATGCATTTTTTCAGACACACTAGTGCGGTTGCCCATGTGGCATATGAGCCCCGGACAAGGGAAAATTGGGTCGGTTTCTGGGTGCGCGATCGATCAACCCCCCCGCCCCCCCGGAGGTCGCACACATCAGATCGTAGCGAAGCATGTTCCCCGTCTCCTCGCTGATGAGGATGTGGAAAAACCTTAGGGTTTGCAGCATTGCGAGTCAGCGAAAAAATCCCCCGAAAGGTCGGCATGGCGAAAATTGGGGAAAAACGACAAGCTGAACGAGCTTCCTCTGTCTGGTGCAGCCTGCAAGGCCTCATATTCAGTCACGCCTGCTGCACAAACGAGGGACGTGCAAGGTTTGACACGGTTCTTATGAGCCACTCTGAACATATGCGAAGTTGCTGGCGTGGGCATACTGCGGACGCCCTAAAAATACTGTAGCACGTAACAAGGGAGATATCCGCAAAACAGAATGTGAACTCTTCTTGTGCCGGGAATCGCCTGAAGGAAGCAAAATGAATAGCTGCAAGCCATGTGCCACAAATGTGCCAACCTGAGTAAGATACTCAGATCTTAGTTTGTTCACGGAAAACGTGCGGGCATGTGGCCATGGAAACGGCTAATGTGGGCGTGTGTCAAAATAGGGAGGCAAATATGGCGCCTTTCTTTGTTTTGCGATTGAACAAACCTGACAAAGGTACCGAACCCAAAAATCAGTTCACTTTAGACAATCCCCACAACCACTCAGCCGCCAAAAGGTCCACCCGGCTGCGCGCGGAGCGTCGAGCACGTTGCTGGCTGATCGCGAAGACGCTCAATGAAACCAGCAACGCGGGATTCACCCCTAGCCAAAAGCAGCCTTAGCCCGAGGATCCAACTTCAGGGGCCGATAGCTCGTCCGGCCGCGGGAGCCTCAGCCTTTGGCGTGTCACAGCAGTCTGGCGTTCAACTAAACAGGGCCCAAGTAAGTGTTGGCACTGCGCAGGGAGGGGTCATACTAAAGAAGGCCCAACACAGTGCGAAAAATCAAGCCCCAAGTCTGCCAAACGTAGGGAACGCCGGAGCAAAGAAAACAAACACAATCGAAGAAGCGTTGAAGCACCAACCCTTACGCTGCCAGTGACCAGCTGGCGCACCAGCTGGCGCGCGAGCAGCCCGCAAGAGCGCTCCACATCGGCCAGAACACAAAGTTCGCGGCAATCCGCAACCCGAAAACCACGTCGACCTAGCGCGACAAGAGCGAGCAGCTCAGCTTTTGACAGCACGCCATCGCGGCTGCGCCCCTGCAGGAGCAACCACCCCAGCACCAGCACCAGGCAGGTTGCAGCAAAACATTGGAACGTGACCAGCTGGCACCCTTCGCTTCGGCCAGCGCTGGCTGCAAGCAAGCTGCCTCGCCGACAAGTGACAAATCAACGGCGTGACCGACCTCCAAAGACGACACAAACAGGCAACACACCAGCCGCCGCCGCTATGTCCTGGTCATCTCCTGAAAGATTCAGCCAAGGTCAAAAATAGCCAATCCTTCTGAAATCCCAAAATGGCCTTCTGAAGCTGCATTTTGTTGAAGCATGATCCTCCAACATGTGACCAGGTCACAAGCGGTACCTCCCGCAGATCGCGCGTCCTCGGTCCACTGGCGGGAGCCTCAGGCTTTGGCCTGTCACAGCTGTCGTATCTGGCGGGCGCGGGCGAGCGGGGCGGAGATGTCAACGCGCCCCAAGGTGAGTTGCAGCCTCTGGCAGGTGTCCACCGCTCGCGGTTCCGGGGGTTTTGGGGTTTGGGCCGGGGGGGGGGGGGGGGGCCGAAGAGATTCTGATTTGAATACCGCACGTGCCCCTTGGTTTCCCCTGACAGCGCCACAGAGGCGTTGTTTCTCTCTTGATGCTAGCCTTGTGTTGTTTTTGCGCTCAAAGGAAGAAAAAAAAGAACACCACCCATTCTGCCCGTTGGTGGGTGGCCCTCCCCAATTCTAAGAGAAAGCCTAGGTGATGCTTGCCGCCAAAGACGGAAAATCGATCACCAGAACCTCCAGCACAGCCAAGGCGCGCATTCATGATCTCGGGCGCGTGCATCACCTGTTCTGCCACTGCCTGCACGAAATCGCACGGACATCGCACGGATGCGGCGTCTTTCTGTTTGTTGCTGGTCGAGTGAAAGGGCTGGGCGCTGGGAAGGTGAAAAACATCAAGGGTTCGGCCCGAAAAGCAAACAGCACTGTGCACTAGCTCACAACTAAAAGCACACGTTCTTGATGTTCATTGTTGTTGGAAGTGAAACTAGGATCGGACTGCGTCAAGATTTGGGAAGGCTTTGACTCTTCCCCCCTGTGAGAAATATGAAACTCCCCGCAGGAGGGGAAGGAGGGGCTCTCCAGTTGTTGAGAGGCAAGCTCGGCTCAAGATAAGGAACCCCCTTTTTGGATGGCTTTGTCACAGACAAGCTCAAGTCACGCTCACCATTTTGGAGATTTGGGTGAATCCTTCGTGGGCCAAAAAATAGAAAGCCGGACCGTTGTTTACTGGCTGCTCACTTGAGTGGAGTCCGCAAAAGCCCATGCTGCTTACCACCAGAATGATACTCCCAGAAGTGTAAGGTCCGCAAATGGGTATGCGCCAAAACCCTCAAAACAAGACAACCTCACATGGCAGTGGGTCAAAAATAGGTACCCAAAAATGGAACCTTTGCAAATGGAACCAAGGACTAAAACCTGCGGTCTGCGGGCGGTGTAATTTTGACCCACAGCCATAGCCCAAAAAGTGTAACTTCCAAAAAGTTGGGAAGTGAAACTGCGACGCCTGCATCGTATAGAAGAGGAGCGTCTCTTGGAACATGGTGAGCGTTGGCTTGGTAGCTTCGCGCCTTCGCTGCGAAGGAAAAGGATCCAACCTCTAACCTTGGCCCAAATCTGGGGCATACCAAAACTAGTATGTTCAGATTATGCTCTGCATTTAGTCTACCCAAAAAGCATAAAACCCGTTTTTGCTGGTGACCTTCAAATAAGGCCACATTCAGGTCGCAAGTTTGCGCCTTTGTTTCTGGGAGGGCTCGAGAATTGGAGGCTTGGCATCCAAAGTGATGGAGAATCCCCCGCCGAAAAGGTCAAAACGTGAAAACGACGCCGGGTCAAAACGCGAAGGGGACTTTCAACGTTGAAATCCTTGTCAAATGAAAGGCCTGAGGGAAACCCGGCTTTCCGCTGCGCTTCCCAAAGGCGAAAGGCGAGGCGAGGAATTCCGGAAGCACCTACCCCTTTTGAGGGTGTTCCAACCGGCCGCATCTGTTCAAAGGGGGTCAAGTCCATAAAAAGCCGGAATTGGTGGATGGCATGTCCCGACCACTCAATTTGTCCAATGCCAATTCAGAGTACAGCAAGGGAGGGGAGCCATAGGGAAATGATTCTCTACTAGTCAATATTGGAATGGCAAGAGAAGATGCCCAAGCCCCCGATGCTTAGGCCGCAGCGGTTGGCCGACCTCGCGGAAAGGGCATGTGTTTTTTGGTTCGGCCAAACTTTCGAAGCAAACGTACCGAAGCTTCCAACGGCAAGGAGTTCCCCTTCTCGGCCGTCCAACGGATTTGGGGAGGCTCTTGCGAGAGCAAAGGCCATTTCCGAGCCAATACCTTTGTGCAGGGTTCCCATTTTTGGATGTCCCCCTGCGTTAAAGCTGACGTTGGGGCCATCAAAAGATGGAACCTGTTGGGTGAACTGGCTTTAAGCCGGGGTCTTCAAACCACCTTTCGTAACCAAACGAAGAAGGATTGCCCTTGAAGGCCCAATCAAAGGGAGAACAACAGGAAGCCAACCAGTTTGAGGTTGGCCCTTCTGAGGCAAACTCAGAGTCACAAGAGCAACACCTGGAAGGGTCCAAGCCGAAAACGAACCCCTGGTTTTTCCCAGTTTTCTGCAGGGCTGGCAACATCCCCAGCATCACCAGCATCACTTGGACCTGGAGTTGCCTATTTGCTCTGATTGGGTGGCAGTTGGGAGTTGCTGGGGGCTAATTTAAGTTAGGGGCTTTTGGCTGGCTTAGATCTTCATGAGGGCGGGTCTTGGGGTGGTTTGGGGCAGCGCCCCAAAACCGATCCCAAACGAGACCACTAAGCTGCTGCCAAACCAGCAGCACTAGCACAAATCAGCTCCAAACCAACCCAAACCCACTCAACGTCAACCCTAAACCCGCCCAACAGCAGCCTGGATGTCCGCCCTTCGCTTCGCCTAAATCAACCCCAAACCGCCCCAAGACCCACCCTCATGCAGATCTAGCCCCCAGCAACTCCCAACTGCCAGCCAATCAGCTCCAGAACCAAGTGAGGCTGGTGATGCCGGGGATGCGGCCAACCAAACAACCAACCAACCAACCGACCCGACCCGACCCGACCCAACCCAACCCAACCCAACCAACCAAACCAGGGGCAGGGCACCAGCCCTAGCAACAAAAAAAAACAGATCCCAACCGGAGCCTCTTCCAAAAATGCGGGGCGTCACCCAAAAATCATGAGGTACAAGTGAGAACTCGCGGAATACAAGTCCGCTGTAGTGTGGAGGTCATTACCTGCGCCTGGTTGCTTAGTTTGAGGGTGCAGAAAGACTATTTGTCACCATAGAAGCACCCGAATTCACCTTGGTTGCCCTTCAGCCTACCCCCAAAAAGGGATACCCTCCAACCAAAAAACGGAAGGGCCGACATCCACGTCGAGCACATCTCTTCCTCCAACCGCTCTCCCTTTCCGACTTCACCTTTCCGACTGGGCGTCGGAGCCCAAAGGTGGTAGCTCTCGAGGGCGCGCCGCCAGACGTTGGTCACCGCGATCACGAAGGTGTCCTCGCGCCGCGGGGGGCGGCGAAGAATTTGCGCCCCATGGAAGGCACAAGAAGCGGGGTGGAAGTCTCAAAATGAAACGATCGGAGCGGGGCGGCTTCCGACTCCGCAGGTGTTGGGTTTCCATGTTTTTCCACTGGCCGATCGGGCTTGCGCCATGTTGGTAATTACCGGATTTTTGAGCAGCCACAGGCATTTGACCGGTCGAACCAAAAGCCAAATCGTACAGGGAACATCCGATTCAATCCAGCCACGAAAGAAGACGAACATGGGTGCACCAAAAACCCCCAAAACGGGGATCCCCCATTGGTTTTGACCCAAAGCCATTTCGTGTGGCAAGCTTGGAGTGTGTCTCAAAATAGGGGCCGGGGTCGTTCCCAGACATGGTGAGGTGTTCCTTTGCGCGCGGAGACGGTCCCCACGGGCGCGGGTCCCGTTTGGAACGTGTGTAGAGGGGGTCATTCCTGCGAAAGGATTCCGCGCGGAGGTACCCTCTCACAGACGACGCACGAAACCCGTGGGTCCCGGAAACGGTCCCAGATGTTCCTCTAGGTGTCCCTCCCACTAACACGGCACCTGACAGGGGGTCCTTGCAGGAGGACAATGATCTTCCAGGCACCCTCCCACAAATGCTATGTTAGGAGGAAGGGTACCCAAACTGAGCTTGTTTTCATCCTCGTTCCGGAACCGCGTTTCAGTAGACTTCATGGACTCTGCGCAGGTGCTCCCTGCCTTCCATCTGAATCAAATGGGCGGCCTCTCGGCCGGTGTTTGGTCCTTTTTGCGGGCCGTCCTGCCCAGGGTTCCAGGGTTCCGGCAGAAGGAATATTAGAAACAGAAGGGGACGTTGTGCAGGCCCGCGTTTTTCACACACTTTGAACTGTGGAATTGTCAGACATTTATGGCCTCCACAGCGTCCCACACTCATTAGAAAACCTGCTAGAAGTAGAAGAAAGGGTTTTTGGTATGTGGGCTATGCTTTGATTGGCCCCAGCTGGCATCCTTTAGGGGGGCCTGTTCAAACCACAGCAGTTGATCTATGGCGAAATCGTCATATACCGGCCCAGTGGAAAATCTAACGCGAGGTGCGGTCTGTATATGTGCCATGGTCAAAAAACATCCTTGTGGTGATCGCCATGGCTCCCTTGATCGGAACCTTTAGGTGTAAAAAGTTTAGGTTTAAGGTCTCCATGACCATCCGTACTAACCCCAAGTAAGCAAGTCTTTGGCCGTGGTACGTGCTTTAGCTCCGCACCAATGCGGAAGCGGAAGTTAGCAGAAGTTCACGGACCTGCAGTGCTAGTTACCCACTCAACCGGTTGAGTCATTGAGCAGAAATGGTTTCGGCAGAAAATGTCCTGTCGCTTTCCTGGGCAAGTTCTTGCCCCTCTGGGTCTCCTTGAAAACCTAAGAAAGCAGGTGCAAAATACACCCTAAACGCACCCAAACCCAGCCTACCCCCACCCCCCCCCGCCCCCACCCCGAAACCGATCCTGCCCAAAATATCGGAAGTTCCTGGAGTGGACAATTAAAACGCCAAACTCAGCTTCCCAATTGATCGCAATTTTCCCCATGCGCGGACTCCGTCCAGAGCCCCGCATCCCCGGTGGAAAAAGAAAAAGTCGACGTTTCTGTGATACCGAACGAGTAGGCCATCGAACGGAACGAGGCAACCAGCTCCTCCTGCCATTGGTGCCAGCGCAGGGCCAGGCACCTCGAATCGGCTTCGAATCCGGGAGAACTCATTTAAAAGCGCCCTTTCCTTCGATGTGTGGATTCAAACATGGGTCAAAACCCAAATCGTACCCCCAGTGAACATCCGATTCAATCCAACCACTCAAGTTCCTAAAATGGGTGGTGAATTCACCCACCAACCCCGAAATGGGATCCCGCTGCACGGTTTTGACAACAGCCACATCACCTTCTGGGCCCACAAGTGACTCTTTGCGAGGCGATGTTCGGGGAAGTATGGTATCATCCTCCACTTGCCGGAAAAATGGGGAAAAATGTCCGGTAGGGCTAGATTCCCTTTAAAACCAAGAGGGGGAAACAAAAAAAAGGTTCCTTTCACCAAATGGAAGTCACTGGGAAGCCTGGGCCACTGGACCCGATACACCCACCGAGACGAAAAGGCGGCAAAGGCCGAGGGAGAACCCGCCTGTCCAACGCAAACGGCGGCAACAGAAAAATGGCAGCGAGCAGAAGAAATTCGTTGGCCTTGTGCGGAAAATCTGCCCGAATTCTTCGTCTTCACGAGGCAATACAGAATCTGGAATCGCTGGTGCTTCTGCCGGTCGGCGAGCTCGACATGACGGGCAACTGGTACAGATGAACTACCCTTGAATGGCTTTCTTGGCTTTCAAGGGGGAGGTGACCCCATCCTGTCGGATTATGGGGGCGCATGCCCCCATTCAAGTCCCGGACAACTGATGCAGAGTGGATATGACCAGCAGGCGAAAAAGGGCTGTACTTCCCGCAAACAAAACAGTTTCTATCCCCCGGATGTTTGGTGTTCCGCTTGAATTTTTGGCGGCTCGTCCTAGCCCTCCATTTGGCAAGGATCGGCTCCCGAAGCTTGACACGGGCTTGTCTCAAACTGGGGAAGCCACCCATGTTTGGGTGGTTTGCTCTTGGTTGTCCTATAAAGCAAAGAGTACCGAGCCTCAAAACACACACACACACACACACACACACACACACACACACACACACCACATGGCATCGCGGATCGATCCCACCACCAAGCCTCTCTTCTGCCATTACATGGTTCTCCAGCAATCTCTGCTGCACCTGGGCAGCGGGGCGGGTTGGTCCCGATCTCCGTCAAGCTGTGGGTTGGCTTTCCGCGTGCTTTGCGTATCAACCCAGGTGTTGATCATCGAAACCCAAGGTTAAAAGCACCCTTCTCATCAAACATGTAGCTTTTGTTCCCACATGGGATATGCCTGGAACATGCAGTAACCATGTTTACCCTCGCGCTTTGGCCACGTGAGGTTCACAGCCACGCGAGTTGTGGCGAACGGCGGAAACTGAGCCGCGGACGCCCCAGGCGTTCCGCACCAGCTGCGAGACCACCTTTAGAATCCCAAGATGGCGGCGTTCCTTTTTGTCCCTTTGAGGGCACCCGATTTTTTTGTCCCATCTCAAAACTCGTTTGTTGGCCGGGGGGACTTAGAATGGTTGCACCTTCAGTCCCTGGGTCGATGGCTCGTGGTGCTTTCTAGGGCTCCCCAGTTTGAGCCAAACCGAGCCCAGTGAGCTACTCTCTTTCCTCAAAACCGTGAAAGCGCGCGGTTTTGGCATTGGAGGACTATCTTGAAAAGGCCGGCAGCTGTTCGCTTCCATGATTGCGGGAAAGAGGGTGTCCTTATTGGTGGACATCATATGCAAACAATTAACGAGGCAAAAGCCAGTCATTCTTGCTTTGAACTGCCACCCCCACTAACCATCATCTACACAAGCACCCAGGTGATGCTTCCATACGTCTCATGAGAAACTCCATGAGGGTCTGACGGTTGCTTTGATCTTGCTTGATTTCAAGTAGAACAAACTGCTGAGAGAAATCCCAGCGTTCTCCAACCATTCCCCCCTTGGAAAACGTAGAGTTGCCCAAGGCCACACAGGGGGGGGGGGGGGGTTGAGCGTGGAGTAAACCCTCGTAGAGTTTCAGGGGTTCCGCCCTGCGTGTGTTTCTGTCAGCGACTCCCGGCTGCTCACAAACAAAAAGCGCATGCACGCGTACATGAGTATATATAGATATATATATATATATATATACACACAGGTACTACCTCTGGATTACCTCTGGATTCCTCTGGGAAGCAACCCTTTCTGACTTTGACAACGCCCCAGCAGTCAAAATAATGACTCCAGTTTCGGCCCCTTGCATGCTCCTACGGAGCTATTGGGGGGGGGGGGGGAATCAAAAGTAAACCACCTGGAAGATCCTCTGACCGCATTGCAAGGCGTATAACCCTTTCGGGAGAACCCAACAACCTGCGTTTCAGTCCGAACCCCTCCTAACCCCAGATTGACAAGCCAGGCAGATTGACAAGAGCCAATTTCCTCGAAAGTGACGGTCACCCTCGAAAACTGACACCTCTTTTGTGCTTGCCAGCTGTTGCAGTCTTTCCTGAACTGTGCTCCCTTTAGAAGCTAATAGTTCTGTCAGGAAAACCAAACAAAGAAACCTGAGAGACATGTTCATGCCCAAAACCTATTGTCTTGGGAAGTGTTCATTTGCATTTGGTTTACTGATGTTCCGAGGTTTCTCGGATTTTCCCAGCACATCTCTTCCCGGAAAAACACTGTTCGCACACTATCTAGTGTGGTTACCCTACTTGTTGCACTTCTTGCAGGTGTGATGAATGTAGACCAGGTGCCTTCACTTGCTACTTGGCAAAGGCAGGGCGCTTGTAGTAAAAAATACAAGCCAAAAATCAATGGGCGAATAGCAAATTATACGGTATGCCAGTGAAATTGATTGTGGTGTGTTTGATGTGTGTGTCTGTGTGTGTGTGTGGGGTTTGCTGTTTTTTGTTCTTCTTCTTTTTTGTTCGGCAGGGGGGTATATCTTTGTGGGGTTGTCGTTGGTAACCCCAAATTCCAAGAGAGGGCAGCTTCTTCACGTTCAACCAAATAATGGGAATAACGTTTGCTAGGATGGTGGATGCTTGTAGTTTAACGAGAGCTACTCAAAACTCATCATAAGCCGAACAGTTCCAGACAATTCTAGAACCAGGCTTCAGATATGGAAGTAACATAGAAATATACGTAGTTGTATACTAGGTATTGCCGATATACATATTCTGAAACAATCTGCAAAAGCAGATACAGTGCTTTTTCAGCTCCTTTCAAAGCCCTTAAACTTGCCTAACTTATTTTCAAAAACGCCGGGGGCATGAGACCTCTACCAAATTCGTTGAATGGGATGGTTGCAAACACAGTGTGCTAATCCGCCAGATTACGCATGGAGTCCCTTGGTGCCCTCTTAAAGTTGCCCTCTTGGGATAAAAGACGAAGCCCAATTGATCCATGGTGGAACTCCCAAAATGGTCAAGTCCCTTACCCTCCCCCCAGCGAATTCATGGGTTTGTTCACAGACCCCTGTAGAAAGACTACTTTCCTCTTGGTGAGTTGGCCTTTTTGCACTAACCCATGTTAGTTGGAGGCTAAGAACTCTTGCAACTGCACCCCCCCAGTTGCCCAGTCGCCGGCTTCGCGCCTCGCAGTGTTGACTCTTGGCCTTCACTGTGATGCTGACTCCCTGGCAGCAAAAGGCTGAAAAAGGGGTTTAGTTGCGGGAAAATCTGCAGGAAAAGACCCCAAGACACCCTAAATAAGCGGTTTTCCTTAACCCATTGCATCAAAAGGCTGAAAAAGGGGCTGAATGCCCGAGAGCGCCAGCGGTTTCCCTTTAGAACACACTAAAAGTGTCAACAAAACGACACGCCCGCGTCTGAAAAACGATCCCGAATCTTTATTCCCGAGGATCCCAGCCGAAAATCCAATTGGCAACGTCCCATGGGCAACCCCAAGAAGCAGGGTCACTGTTTCATCTGCGTCACCAGCTGCAAGTGGGAAATATGTCAAGATATGGAGAGGCGTCCCCAAACATCTTGCAGCCCAAAGCTTCACCGCTGCCAAAGGAAAGCGCCAAGAAAGGAGTAAACGAGGAGTATGTCGTAAATCAGGCTTGAATGTCGTATCTTCGCTTTGTGGTCTCCACTGAACAAGTGGCACGATGTTGATGTCCACGCTTGGCCAAACACAAAGACCCCCAAAAGGCTATGATATGGCCATGGGTCAAAATCCCGTACCCCCAGTGAACATCCCAATCCCCACTAAAATAGACTCAAATGGGTGGTGACCTACCCCAAAATGGTACCATTGGTTTTGACCCACAGCCATATGTTTGCTGGTTGGAAGGGGAAACTCAAAGAAAAACACACTAGCAGACGAGCAACAAGGTCGATTCAGTCTGGCAATTGACTTTCCTCCACGTCTTGTTCGGAACTTCCGGCAGAAGCAGATGGTCTCCCTACTCAAAAGCACTCTTTCAATACCCTGGGGATCGAAGCTTCCAGTTTTTGATGGCTCCCCTCCCTCCAACTGTGGACGGACGAAATCCACTTCGCACCACTTTGAAACCATGGGAGACCATTGCTTCTTGGTATTCACAGGGGAATCATCATTCCAGGGGTTCTTAGGCAGTGCAGAATTTTGTTCATCCACAGCACCTGGAAGGTACCTGAAAGATCAATTTTCCTCCCTAAAGGCGCCATGTTGGGTGGGCAGGGTAAGTCTTCCAGTCCAATTCACATCCCGGTGAAAGTCACTACTCGATACCATGGAATGTGTCTGAGAATGGTCGCCATTCGACATCGGCCAGAGGACACCACCGAAGAGATTTGCAATGGGAACCCCTGACTTTGGCACCCAAAACAAAGGAACTTGGTAGTTCTAAAATCCAACCCGCAAGTAACCGTTCTACATCATCACAACCCTATCTAACCATTCTAATGCTCCAACCCAGAAGCAACCATGTTCCATTCCAAAGTGTCCAATCAAGATGATTAAGCATCACTTCACTTCAAACAATGCTTACTAACCGTTTAAAAAAGTATTGCCAAAGGCAAGGTCCAGGCCCTTTTAACAACCTTAAACAAGGTTGTGGCAAATAACACTTTCTGTAGTTCCCCATGCCTACGGGGTTTCTCACGAAAAATGGGACGACCCCACCCTGTTTTCAACAGGCATGACCTTCAGAGTTCAACCAGGTGTTCAACATGTTCTTCACACCAAGGAACCTCCTGGTTCGTCTTTTTCTGCTAGGGTCTTCTTGAAACCAATTTTGCAGCCATCCACGGGAACTCCGGGCCTGAACTTCAACCAAAGGAACCCGAAGCTTCCCATGACTACTGCCGATCTTGCCCGCAATGTTGAGCCTTCCACCAGCAACTGCAAACAAAAGCAACCCTCAACAACGGGGCTTGCTTTTTCTTTCCAGTTTCATGGGGATATTCTCTAAACATTGGCATGTTTCAGAAGATGTCCTCCAAGCTCGGGCTTTTCTCAGGCTCCCTGGGACCCATCCGTTTTGTCTTGACCTCGCCCGGCGCCCGATTCGGCACCTCGTCCACGCCCATGCGCCGGCGCGGGTCGTTGGCAAAGGCGCGGCACCTTGGGTGGCCGGTAACAGTTCTCCAACAAGATTGGAACCTACCACTCATTCCCGCGCGAGTGCAGTTTCGTTAGGGTGACTTGGATTGGTTTGGAGTTTCGGGGCTCGCTTCCCCATAGACTCGACAAGAACCAAGGCTTCGAATCAGCAGAACCTAGCAGCATGTGTCAGAGCCAAATGGGACCGTGCTTGCACTCCTTTGCGCCCAGCTTTGACACACAGCTACTCTGTATCCAGAATATGGAGATGGCCTCCATTTTGTGAATAGAGATACAGAACATGCCGCTCCTGCAGAAAGATCTCTACTTTGGCTGCAGCTTTTCTCCACCGAGACCTTTCGTCCGAGAAGGGCCGCCCATCCCATCGCCGCAGGACTCCAGACACTCCCGAGAAGGGGCGCTCGTCGTCGGCGCGCGAGCCAAACCTCGCGAGCTCCAGATGCCCTCGGCCAGCCTGGGGGTTTTCCAACTGGCTTGCAAGACGTCGAGCTGCGATCTTCGGCAGATCGAACGCTCACCGCAGCTCGGTGGCCCGAAGGCTTCAAATTGCTTTGGCGCTCTGCCAAGGTGGCCGGGTTTCCAATCACGCAGCTTTCGGCTTTCGGCTCACAAGGTCAGAGAGAGAGAGAGAGGCAGATCTGCATCTTCGAGCTCGTTCTTATTTGGGTGTGAATCTTAATGGGTCCAAAGGATCCTTGGCTGAACATGAGTCCATCATCAAATTCGGGGATTCATGTCCATCACAGCCATGAGTGGATATGCAACCCCACAATTGTGTGTGTGTGTGTGTGTGTGGGGTTTCCTGTTAGTCTCCCTTTGAACCAACCCCAAAAAGGGTACCCTCAAAAAACGGTGTCTGTTTTGTTGAGGGTACTTCTTCTGTGCGTCTTTAAGGGAGAAACCAATCGGGAAAAAGAAGAAGAAGAGAAAAAACACGTTTCTCTCCTGCCCCGAGGTGTTTCTGTTTCTCCCTCCGGGTTTGGGGGTTGTTCTTTGGTGCACCCTGGTCTGCTTCTGATTTCTGGCGGGGCAACAAAACCAAAAACCGTCTCCTCCGCTCGAGCCCTGGGATCGAGCCATCGGAAATTCCTCCTCCTCGCTCCGAGGCTCCGGGCTCCAGGGTCAGAACCATCTCATAGCTCTCCCCGGGTGCGGAGATGCCCGAGTGGCCCTGACGATGTTTCGACCGGCGAAAGGAACCCGGGAGACTCCCCATCCAGGGGGTCCAGGGTGGGGGGTGGGGGGAAGGAACGGAATCAAGAAAACCCGAAGTGTCTGTGACTTTTGGTGATGCCGAAGTGAGGAACCCTGATGGGGGTCAAGAACCCGAAACTTTCTGTGATGCAGAGAGATTCCCAGAAAAAGACCCTTGTCAAACAGCAGCAGCAGCCATAGCTCCCACAACCATGACCGAAGCGAAAGCCCGCCGTTTTGGTCCACTCCTTTTCACCGCCGCTGATATTGGGAGACGGTGGAATCATCTGTGGTTGTTTGTTGTTGATGCAAGATAGCAGCATAAATGCATCAAGGGATGGAACGTCGTAATTTCTCAGATCACTACCACAAAAACAAAGATGGAACCTGAATATGTCTCCAAACACTGGTACACGCCGTCTGATTTTTTGACGCGAGCCAGACTGCCGGACTGCCGGACTGCAAAAAATGGGGAACGACCCATAAACCGTCCAAAGCGTTGATCAAGTCCAAGCACCTCCTCCCTCCGGGTTCTTCCAAAGTCGGTGGCCAGCGAAGGATTTCCAAGTACAGTCAAAATCCAAGAGGTCCAGGACAACAAATAAGCGAGAACGTGCTTGGTATGTCGGTTTCGATCAACCCTTGAGAATTTGTGTGGGGGGGGGGGGGGGTGTCCCACTTCAAAGGGCAAGTTTCACTTCCCCAGGGGCGAACACCCATCAGTTCTAACCAGGGCTCCTGACAGGATACATCCCAAAACCTCCTTAGAGGAGAATCAGATGGCATGCAGGTCAGTCTTGCAAACTGGCCCCAGGTATCCAAAACGGAACCCTGGGAACTGCGGGGTTCTGAAGGCGCCCTTGTAAACTTGGCGTGAAGGGAAAGTCACCCCTTCTTAGGGCTCCTTGTGTTGACACATACCCAGTCAATTCCGGGGTCAAGGCAGAACCGATGTTTGAGAGCTGGTGCCCTGACGTACTCAAGAACTCCAGGAATGAACCTTGGGTTTGTTTAAAGGAAACCACCAGTTGGATGGTTCAGTCCCTTCCAACTCATTCCTATAAGCCGAGTAGCAAGAAATTTGGGGATCGCAAATGAAAGCTCCAAACATGTCTCATCAGCTTCCCATCTACTTGGTGTTTTGGATTGGTGTGAAGGTGTTCCGCGGCGCAGCTTCCCAAGCTTCTTTCTAAGAACCAGCTTCAAACCCAAACCCACCAATCCAAATCACCAACTGGAGAGCCTGACAAGGTCCGAAGTCCCCAACCCCCCCCCCAACTCCAACCCCCCCCCCACCCCCACCCAACTCCCCACTTCCCCACCCCCCCCCCACCGTGTGGCCTTCGGCACGGACGGCCGGTGCCGCCGCAGCGCGGCGGAGCGGCCCATGCCCAGCTGGTTGTCCTGGCGGATTTTTTCGGTCCGACAGGATCCGAAGGATCCCAAGGCGGATCCAAAATCTGGTGGTTTGAAGGGGTTTTACAGAAGAGCTCGGCGGGGAAAAAACAAAACGCGGAGTTCGGGAGTAAACATCGGGTTTCAAGGGGCTTCACCAGGAAACTCTACTGGAAAAACCGCTTATTTTAGGGGAGGAGCTCTCCCGTTCTCTGCCATCTGCCTGGCTTAAGCCTGGCTGGCACTCACAGCGGGCGCGCGCGCGCGCCTCGCGACTCCAGGAGAAAAAAGCGAGGACCAGTGAGCTCGGATCGTGTTCAGATCCACAGAAAAAGCTTCAGGGCTGTTGAAATGACCACTTCTCTGATACAAAAAGGGCAAGACTGACCCCCCGTATAAAAAGAGGGGATTGCCTTGTATCGCAGAAGTGGTTGGGTAAACCCCGAGTGATCCCACAACCCTGCTAAGCTTGGAGCAACTTTTCGTGGGACTTTTTCTTCGGCGACCAGAGGGGCAATGTGTGTGTGTGCTTGATGGTAGCTGGATCGCTGGATCGGGTAATCTGGGGGCCAACCTGGTTGTTTTGTTAAACTAAGGGCCACACAACTGGCGGGTTCAATACGGAAACTCAACAGCTAAACTAACTTAAAAGCTAAAAAGCCAAAGGAACAGTATGGCTGGGCACCAAGTAGAGGGGGTTGAGGTTGCCTTAGCTGGATCCTTTCATGGCTGATAGCTGGAATCCTTTATGGGCCAATGGTTCCCGGGACTTTGGGCTACCATGAAGGGTTTTTAAGGCGACTGTTGGCCCACATGTTCGACCATGGCACATGGTGAGTAACAGTCAGCTGGTTATGCTTTTTTAATGGCGGAGGAAACGTATGGCCTTCCCAAAACATGTTGAAACGAAGTCAGGGAGTGGGGACTATGAGTATGGACTTTAATTGGGAATCCTTTGGTGGACACCAGTTAGCTGGAGATTTACGTCCACCTTTGAAGAGAGTGCATAATGAAACTCGTAGCCAGATAGCTCACGGAGCCCTGAAAGCTGCCTTTGGGCCTATCGACCCCGTAGCTAAAAGAGCTCCTGGGAAGAACGAAAATAGATCTAGGAAAGCTTCCAATTCCATTTCCAGGGATCTCCAAAACCGGTTTGTGAAACAACCGGTTCAAAGAAGAACAATGGTTGAAAAGAATCCCATCTACCCACAAGAACCAGGGGTTCAACTCCAACCACCGGGCTCCAAACCACCAATTCAGGGTTACCTGATTCTTGGTCTTCAAAGAAGAACCAAAACAAAACCGACCGTGTTCGAACGAAGAGAGACAAACAACCCACCAATTGGTTCGCCGCTCCGTCGTTTTGAAATCAACTCATTGTTGGGTTGTTTTTTTTGGGGAAAAAGACAAAGGCTCTACAAGAACCAGCACTTCAACTCCAAGCACCGGGCTCCAAGGGGCTCAGAAACTCAACCCGAGAGCTGACAGAGAGCTCTTGAGTCACTATCCAAATGGTCGGTCGGTCGTAATCCCAGAACCATGCTTCAAGAATTCAGACGGAAATATCCGCAGAAGACAAAGAACTGGCAAGGGGATCGTCTTACTCACCTTCATCAATCCTCGGGTTTTGACGGTCAACTGATCTTCCAGGTGGTTTCCCTCCCGTGCCATGGCCACCTGGGAGGAGCACAAGTTACAACCCGGAAAGAAGGAATGTCCCAATGGGACCTGTGGAATCGCTTGAAGTTCCCGGATCAGTCTCTTGGGGACCAAAAGACGTGACCCTCTTGCAGAAAAAAAACCATTGCGTCGCTCCCTCGTTTTGAGATCAACCCATATAGGGGCAATAACCAACCACCAACTGGGCTCATCCGACCAGAGCTGGAACAGAACTCCATATTCAATTGCTTTCTTGGTTCAGCTGATAGGGAGGCTTCCCCGGAAGCCCACATGGGAAGCTGCAAAGCAGGAGTCACCCGACCAGAGCTCGACCAGAGCTCTCGGGGACCAAAAGCCGCGCGAAGCGAAGAGCGAAGCCAAGCGCGGCGGCGGGGCGAAGTAGGCCACCGCCTTGGGGATGGTGAGCCGCCCCGCCGACAACGCCGCCTCCCGGGTCTGGCGGGTCACCTGGCCACGCGCCACGCGTTGCGTGGCAGAGGTCCAGAGGTCGGAGTTCGGAGGCGCGGGGCTCGAGCAAATGGAGGGGGGGAGCGCGCCCTTGTTTTGGAGGGTGGCCGTTTTTTGGGGTGGCTTTGAGGCAAAACCCAGAAAAAACCAAAGGAAAACCAACTGAAAATGGGGGACCCCTAACAAAAGACATGTGCCTTAAAAGAGGGGAACCTTTCAAGGGTTGTTTCCCTTAAAATGTCCCATTGGCTCAACTCGGACTGGGGCACCCTCAAAAAAAAATGCCTGAATGGGAAGGTCCTTTTGGGTTCAAATAAGTTAGTGCACTCAACCCATTCACTTTTCATTGCGTTCTACATGGCTAAAATGGCTTACATACTTACTACAATCCCCAGCTTCTCAAAATGGTGGACCGCTTTTGGTTCGGGAACAGAAGCAAACACAAGGAAACCAGCCATAAAGAAGCATCCCACTCCCCAGGTGAGTCATGACGGCATCGGAACAGAAATCCCACTGTTTTGCCAAGATGATCCACTGAGCCCATAAGGGTCGCCACCTTTCATGGTTGTGGGAAACACGTTGACACCATCTTTTTTGTGATACCATCCGTTTCCCATCCCTTTGACAACTTTGTGACTTCAAGGGGGCTTCTCCTGGTAAAACACCCTGCAGGAAAAGGTGAAGGGGTTTGGCGTCTTGGGGCCCCTGGTCATGCAAGTCTGGCAAGGGGTCATTACGGAACGGATGGAGGGTCAGACGCAATCTTCTCTAAAGCTTGCTCAACCACGTGTCTGCTAATTGAAACACAAGCAGCTTTTTGCTGGCAAAGTGTCTCGGGCATCGAGGATTTTGCTTTGAAACAACACCGATGCTGAAGTAGCCAGGTGATGCAGATCTTGGATAGCACAATTCCCTTTACCCTCCCAGGCCTTCGGAAAATGGTCTTTCAGGACTTCCAGAGTCAGGCTCTATGTTTCGAGGCCCCTTGCCCCTATGAGATAGGGATGGTGCCGTCTGCTGGGCTACCTGAGCGTGCGGGTGTGGTTGCACTCAATGGGCTCCTTCGCTGTCGAAAGAAACACTTGCCCTAAGGTCTTCCAACCTACGTTGATAGGAGCGACACAAACACTCATGCGCCCCCCCCCCCTCCCTGGGACCCTGGGATTCCTTGGTGGGCTGTTTGAGGGTAGAGGTGCGGGTGTCCCTTACCCACCCCCCCCCCAACAAAAAAAAAAACACCTTACCCCCACCACCCTGCCTTGATCAAGCCAAAGGCCAGCAGAATGGCCGCCAGGCCGCCGAACCAGACGAACCTTGGCCGAGTCCGGTTTTTCTTCGCGGGAAAAAACCGCCGCAGGTCTCATATGGCCGCGGGACAACAAATGGGTGACCCCTGGTTGAAACTTGGACCCATACCCATATGTGTTCCGTTGCAACATCACCCCTGCCCAAGGGACAATCGATCTGGGCCAGAGGGGTGATGTTTACAGTTTAGAGCCACCAAACAAGGTTGACATTTGGCTGTGGCTCAAAAAACATGTCCCAAAATGGCCCCTTGGTACATGGAAACCAGGACTAAAACCTGCGTAACCCCATAACCCCAGCTCTTTACTTTTGAGCCACACCCATTTAGGGGCCCCGGTCTCAACATGGGTGCAGTCGATAGGTTTACTCTGCGCCTGGAGCAGGTTCCTGTTGTGGGCGGTTGGGCCTGTTTGAGCTTGGGTAGCGGCCCGGCCCCGTGTTAAGTGGGTGCGCGGACAGACGCGTTGTGCAACATCCTTGCGTCGCAAGTGCGAAGTGCAGGTTTCAGCAGAAAACCATCCCAACAGGGTGCCCAGCTGGGCGTGTCGTTTTTAGGGGGCGCCCCAGCATGGAACAAATGGCGGCTTCCCTTTTGGTTTCTCTTTGAAGCCCCAAACAAGAGGGAGCCCAAAAAACGGCTGCCTCTGGGCGCAAGGTGGTTGTTTTAATACCTTGTTTTTCATGGAACATACTTCAATGGCGAGTTGTGAACAACCTGTTTTGGGAGGAGGAGGTACCCAAAGACAGAAAACCAATCGACCGCCTCGCCTTCCAGGGCCATCCCTTACCTGCATCTAGCGACTTTGATAGTAGCTCCGGTGCGTACAAACCCCACATGAACATGCCCGAAAAAGCACCAAGCTAGTCTAGGCGTCTTGTTAGGTAGCACTGGAATAAAACTTTCGCTATAACTTGGGCCGCAACTCTATGAAGACCTTGCTATGATTTGCGTTGCAAGTCTGTACGTCAATTTCTATGATTCAGGTCGCAGTTCTATAGAACCCTTGCTATGATGTAGGTTAGAAGCCTTTCTATGATTGAGGTTGCAGATCTACACAACACTTTCTACGGTTCAGGTTGCCGTTCTGTGAAGAACTTTCTACGACTTAGGTTGCAACCTCGAAAACAATACCTATGATTTAGGTTGCAGTTCTACAAAACACTTTCTATGATTTAGGCTGCAGTTCTATGTAGAACTCTCCATGATTTGGGTTGCAATTCTGTAACACAAAACTTTTGGTGTAGGCTGCAACTCTATGAAGCACTTTCTATGATTGACGCCTTTTGATGCTTGAGGTTGCAATTCTGTCAAGAAGTTTCTATGGTTCAAGTTGCAGTTCTATGAAGAACTTTCTATGACTTAGGTTGCAGTTCTATAACTCAGTTTCTACGACATAGGTTGCAGTGCGATGATACCGTTTCTATGATTCAGGTTGCAACTCTATAAAACAGTTTCTATGATTTCGATTGCAACTCTATGAAAAACTTTCTATGCTTTAGGCTATGACAAAAATTGCTATTTGAAAAAACAATTTCTATGATTTAGGCCGCAGTTCTATAAAACACTTTCTATGGGAAGGCCGACGTCGAAGGCGATGCTACATCCAAAGCTTGTTCCAAAGTCACCGCCGCCAGCACTAAGGCTTGTCTCAAAGGTCAAGCCAGCACTAAAGAACATCCTGGATGAAGAGACGGAATCCGACAACCGTCCAATTCATTCTACAAAACAATGTCTAGGTCGCAGTTGTATAAAACGCTTTGTGTGATTTATGTTGCAGTTCTGCGCAGAACTGTCTATGATTTAGGTTGCAACTCGATGAAGAACTTTCTATGGTTCAGGTTGCAATTCGGAAAAAAAAACAATTGCTATGATTTAGGTTGCAGTTCTATGAAGAAGTTTCTATGATTTAGGTTGCAGCTTTTTAAAGAACTTTCTATGATTTGGGTTTCAATTCTATGAAGAACTTTCTATGGGGTAGGTTGCTGCTCAATGAATCTCAGCACTTATGCTTCTACCAAAGGTACCCTCAGAAGCAGAGTGTGGTGAGAAGTCCGTTGTTTTGGTGGTGAAAAGCTGATTGGCGATTCGAATCGCAGGAGCCGAGATCTATTGTCTATGGATGTGCACGGTGCTAAGTCTTCCAACCAACACTCTGGGCGTGCATCCAGCACTCTAGGCGTGGATCATCGGGGGGAGAGCATATATATATATATATATACATAATTATATGTATATATACATATATATGTATATATACATTTAAATAAATAAATAAATATGCCTATATAGGCCTTGCTATGGCCCTCATGAATCGGAGCACAGGCACCAACTACTCAAATGGCCCTAAAATGGGAATCGCCGTTGGGCGCTACTCACCTGTTGGAGAAAATCGGACCGGGCCGTCCGGCAAGGAGGGCAGAGAGCCCTCCACGTTGTACACCTCGAGCCAGTCTCGAGGGGAAGGCGAAATGAATAGAACAGCATGCCCTGCTTTGGTCAGTTGTCTTCCAAAAAGCAAGGGTGGGCAGTGCTTGAGGTCAGTCTAGGGTTTTGTTTGAAACCCGTCTGGATGTTCGATTGACAAGACGGATCCCTGGAAAGAATGAAGCTAATACTAGAGTGGGGATCGATGGTTTCTCTAAAGTTGTTGCTTTTCGCAATGCATCTCCACCAAACCCTTTCTCACACAGCTCACTACCATCCACGCCACCATGCCATGCGTCGCCATAAAGAAGCTTCTGAGCTGCAAAGTCTATTCTTCCGCCATAAACGCGGCATGAAATGAAACGCAACAGTCCCTGAACAGGGCTTGTGGTTGTCGCTCGGGGCAGCTCGGATCAAGCCAGAAGGAGTCAGCTGCCATTCGACCTAAACATCCGGTGCACTCACGGAAAACCATATCCGGTATGCCCGCATGTAAACCCCGAAAATAATGCCGCCCTCAAAAATGAGCAAAAAAGGTCGGCTCACGTTGGCTCTTCCAAATGGAGAGCCCAATGAGCGCTTCCCTTCGGTCTAAGCCTCATGCATGGAGGTGGCTCGGCAAGACCTCAGCTCGCTGGAAGACGTGTGCCTGCTGTGGTTATTGTGTTGAGGCTTAAATGGACGTCACCACGCTGAAGGCGACTCGAGTAAGAAACATCTAAACTTCGTGTGGCTGGTCTTTGAATGCTACAAGAAGAAATCTTCACCCAGGTCAGCCCGGAGAATCATTCATCATCGACTGCCGTGGCTATGCAATAGAAGCACGCGTGGAGACTTGGACATAACAAAGTGGGGGAGTTTCAGGAAACAGAAAGTGCCGTGGCTGAGCATCTGCCTCCTCTAAGCCTCTAAGCCCAGCGCGCAGTAGCACGGAGGCGTGGCGTCACTGGGGGGGCTCGGCCAGTGGAAGTGAAAGCCGCCTCGGAAATTTCGGCGTAAGACGAGCAAAGGGGCATTGGCGGGTGAAGTGTTTGTGAGGGTACTCTTCCTAAGGCTGGTTTGAGGAGAAGAGTGGAAAATCACGATTTTAGCCCAGTATGGGGAAATTGGATGGCTGCTCTTGTCTTGGTTGGAATTCGGGTTGTTTTCCTTCTTCATGTCACGCCCAATCAAGTCGAAATCAAAGCCTGATATAGAGGTACCCAGAATCCCTGGCAAACAAGAACTGTCCTCTCACTTTCACTCACGGCTGTGATTGTGGCTCGACCCGAAAACGGGAGCCCTCATCTAGCCCCCACCCCCAAAACAGGTCTGAAGCGGAACCACTGAATACTCCGGACCTGCTCAGTTAGGGCATTCCGTCGGCGTCTTTGGGGTTGCATGCACTACACAGAAGACTACTGCATGGATGACTTCCACAAAATCCCCATTTTGGGTCATTGTCCGACACCATAGTCCCCCAGCGTACGAAGGAACCCATTTGGACCTGTGGACCCGGTGGCCAAAAAGGGTCCAAGCATCTTGTTTGTTTGCGACAGTGGGCTTCTCAAATGGCATAAAATGCAGGAACTCGGCAAGTGCATCTTCGCTAAGAACCGATAATTCAGTGACCACAGCCTTTCCCTTTGAACCAACTTGTTGAGAAACTCCCAAGTAGAGCGAACCAAAGATTGTGGGACCTCTTTGCTGGATGTCTTGGGGGGCAATGAACTGGAGAAGACGTCTTTTGGGTCCATCTTCGAAAACTCCCAAAGCACTGAGCCGCAGCAACAAGTCTGCGGTTTGCCGGGACACCGGGATAGCCGAGCAAGGGCTCTGTAGGGCTGGCAACGGGCAGTGGATTCCCCGATTCTGGCCCCAGTGTTTTACACCCAGAAGTCACCCGCGGCGGTAGGGTAAAGAGTAAAGGGCAACCCCTTGATTGACCCCCAAAGCAACCAGCAACCAGCGCTTCCCCCCTCCGACTGCAAAGCTCCCGTGCCAGTTTTGCTCCTCGCGTTGAATGGCAGGCCTCAACGCGGATAGGGCCCAAAGGAAGGAGAGCCGCATTGCACATCCCTGGAGCCAAAGGTGATACGTCTGCTCGAACTAAACCAAGGTCGCCCACGCCCATGTTCACCTTCTTCTCTGGAAGCATAGTGAATGCAAAAGGCTGTGCCTTGCACAGGAACCCTACAATTTGTATCCCAGGAAAAGGGTGCCCTTCAAATTCATTCCCATATGTGCCTTGGTCAAAGCTGCCCATGCGTGTGTGTCTGGTAGTTTTCGCTTTTCAGGGTTGTTTTAGACTTTTGAGGGCTGACTAGGCCACTGGGCTGCAAAAATTTATTGACGGAAAGGACCCCGATCCTCCAACTATGGTTTACTGAGTTTAGCCAAAAAAAAAGCAACGGGGTCTGGCTCCCGCCCCCACTGTTGTTTGTTTGTTGTTGTGTTGTTTCTTGTTTGGGGGGGGGGGGGGCAATCTGCAGGAAAGCCAATCATAAGGAAGCCTAGCCAGCCCGACAACAACATGTACGACTCAGGAGTTGCTAAGATACTAAAACTAGCAATCCTACATGAACGTCTGGAAATGTGTAGAAAGACAGATTCCCCAGCTGCAAACATGTGGACGAGATTATGGGAATACACTCGTGCTGGGGACGGGACAGGGGGGAATCGAGCCCCTGCCCCCCCAATCCTTGATTAAATCAGGCATCGTGGGAAGCTCAGCCAGTAAACAAAGCTAAAGTTTAGAGAACTCCCGCTAGCACAGCTAGCTTTCGTGACAAATTTGAAAGGGAGAGGAAAGCCACCTCATCTGTCGTGATCTCGTGTCATTCATGATTCACCTCGTTTCACCCCCCGATCGGTGGGCTCGTGCAACCATCATGACCATCATGAACACATTACATATTCACCCTGCAGCAAGGCCTTGCTAAGGGCTTGTCCAGGACGGGGCTCCCTATACTTCCCCTGAAAGCATCAGCCCTTCCAAACGAAACTCACCTTGCAGGGGCTCAAAAGACGACGTTGACCGCTCAAAAAGGGAAATATGGCTGTTTGTCCAAACCAATGGTACCATTTTATTTTGGGGTAGGTGAATTCACCACCCATGTTCGGACCTATTTTAGTGGATTGGTTGACGTTCACTGGGGGCTAACCGGGATTTTGACCCACCATGTGTGAGGACCGCCATGTGAGCCAATCCCACAGCCAGCGGCAGAAGCTCAGCTCGAAGGCTTGGATGACCTGGCAGGGAGCCGAAAAGTGCCCAATCTAAGGCTCATGGGAGTCAAAATGGTCGTAATCCATTTAACCATGCTTCAAGAACCAGGCCGGAGATCAGCTATTTATGGCCAGGGGATTCTCCCGTAACCTTCATCTACCCGGGTTTTGAGAACGTGGCCCTTCTGGGTTCTTAGCGGAAAGACAACCAAAAAAGCCACCCTTTGCAGGAGTGCGATATGTCCAGAAGCCTTCTTCTTTCTTTCTTTCTTTTTTGGGGGGAGCCTGATATGTCCTTGTCCGGAAGCTGACACCTCTTGCAGTTCGACGATGTAAAGAAAAGATTACGTACAGCCTGCAAACTGCTACGAACATGGGATAAAATTTGCAATCCTACTGTGGACAAAACATTCACGCCGCTCGGCACCAAAAAGGGTGCGAAGTAGACTTTGTCCGTTCACTGGTATTTGGAGACGATCCACCCTTGTGGTTGGGTCACTTTGTCCTATCCAAATGAAGCATCGGCAAAAGGTACTGTCTGCTCAAAGAGAGCCAAATTGCTTCTCACTCCATTCAAGGATGGGCCGTTTGAGTGCGGGTTGTCAAAAGTTGGTCCGGGTTGTGCTTCTCAAAAGGGTGGTTTTGCAATCCACATCAAAGGGCGCCAGGCCCCTTTTCGCCACCAGGATCAAAGTGCTCTTTGCTTCTTTTTCGGGGACCACAACTAGGTCCTCCAGTAGAGAGGTTAGAACAAGGCTACCCTTTTTTCGGTAGTCTATTTTAGTACGGGAACCCTCCCCCAAAAGAGGGCAAAAGGGCACTACTGGGGGACCTTGACAAACAAAAAGTCACCTGAGTCACACAACCCTCCGCGAAACTCGGCGGCCGTGCCGCTGCATTGTCCCAGCGCGGTCGCACGCAGCTGTGTAGGAACCTGTGATCTGAGGGCCCGCTGCAGGGCGCAAAATCAAACTAAGCCACTTGGGTCAAACTCCGGTTTTCAGCTAGGGGCTCAGGGCTTCTCTTTTATGTGGAAACCCTCCCCCCCCCCACCCTTAACGTGGCAGGAGGGGCCGCTGCCAAAGAAAAAAGGGCAAAAACTTCCGGGTCCATGGCCGGCTTTCAGCGCGTTCCTTCGATACTTGTTTTGGGGGAATTTCGCAGGGCCGAGCCATTCGGATTGTGTGTATCGTGTGCACGTGTGTGCGTGGTGTTTTTTTGTCTTTCACGCGGGGGATCAAAAACAGCGCTCTGATAGATGTGTGGATTTTGGGTTTTATAAGCCTGATACTTTCCGGATTTCGGAGAAAAATCCGGCCCGGCGAGGGTGTTCTCAATCTGGGGTCATCATGATTTCTTCCCCAAGCCTCACCCAAAGAGAACTCACCACCCAAAGTCGGCGTTTCCAAAGAGGCGATGCTTTAACCAACAGCTTGTAGGTCAGCCAACCAAAATGGCTTTTGAACCCAACTTGCAGCCTCCCAGCAACCAGCATGGAAGTGCGCAGAACCTCCTTCCAAAAGGAAAAACTGCGCAGGCTGCTCAGTAGGGGATGCTCCATTTTAGAGGGGGCTCCGGATCACTTTCGGAAATCGAGAAAATCGGAGGGCGGCGTCTTCGAACGGATGGCCTCTCAGGTCCTACACTCACCAATGGCAAATGAAGGTTACTTTGCAAATCCAATGCAGACAAATGTATCCTGACTGTGGCCATGGGCCTCTCCAGCCGTATACCCAAACCATGAACGGTAGTCGATAGCCAGACTCGGACCCTTAAAAACAGCCAAAAGTTGCTGGTCAACTTGGTCGGGACTATGGAGGCTACCCAAGGGCGCTTTTTACCCTCCTTCCCAACAATCATGGAAGTGGACAGGGAGGTTCCCCAAAAGGAAAGCAGTCTTTGTCAGCTTCCATGATTATCGGGAGGGTAAGTCGAAAAAAGATGAGTTGGGTCCAATGACTGACATGCAGTCAGCTGGTTTGAAGCCAAGAACCCAACATGCCAAAGGAATCGGAGGTACCGTGCGGCAAAAATGCATCTCCCTTCCCCCTTCCCGATTCCGCCCCTCCCCCTGCACGCGCGCCAGTTGGTGTGCGACACCAGGCCCAAAAACTCGTCGGGCACAATCTCGGGCGGGCTGGTTGCACGGTTCCACGGCGAACGAAAAGGTTTCGCTCGGTATGCCGTTTCGATGTCCTCAGCTTGGCTTCAATTGGTAGTTTGGGCTCGGTTGTTTGGAGCTGTTCCAGGGTGGTTTCCGTTGAGCCTCGACAAGAACCAGACCCTCAAATCCCCAACCACAAATCCAAAAACCACCAAAAATAAGTTGCCTGACTTGCTATGTTCTTCTTTTGGAGGAACCCTTTTTGATTTGAAGTCAAAGGGATACCAACCACTTTTTCCCTCTCCCTTCAAGGAAACTAGGGCCAACAGGTGTACGCTCCATATCGCAAGCCAAGCAACAGCAAACCATGGACAAAACAAATCGGGCCTTGACCCCCCCCCCCACTTGCAACGGGTCGTCCCCAAAAGTGATGAATCCCCCACCACCCTATTAATCAAACAGGGGTTTATTAATCTGGGGTCAACATTAACTTGAAAACTTCAGGACTTGACCAAACCCTGGACGAGTTCACCCTGTTGCAAGTGAGCCCCTGGATGCAGATGTTATTCCAACCCCACCCCCCACCCCCCACCCCCGCCCCGAACCCCAGCGCAAGAACTTGTGCTCGAGTCTGCGGCACTTTTGGTTGACAACTTCGAAGGGACCGAAAGGAACTCAACCCACATGGCCATATGGGTCAAAATCCCTCAAAATCCCGTACCCCCAGTGTACCCCAAAATGGGATCCCCTTGGTTTTGACCCACAGCCACATTGAGATACTCCACTCCCAAACAACCTCCAAAACATGAGTGACAACTTCAAATTTAACCAAACAAGTCATGATATTCCAGTACTTCCTTCCGATCGAGTGGAGACTTGAAAGCGATCGATTGCCTCATGCACCAGGATCCTCTGGAACAGTTGAACCAAGTGAGTCAAAGATGATTGTTGGGCAACTTTTGCCCATCTGAGCCCCTTTAAAACCGGCAGCTTGGAGTGGCTTTCCCCATCTTGAGCCGGGATCCAAACGAGAAAAGGACCGCCAGGTGATGCGCGGTGCGTGGTGTTGCCATTCGTGGCACTTTCCTCACAGGATGAACTTTCATTTCGCTAGGGCCACGGTTCGCAGGATTCTCTTCACCGGAAAATAGGGCAAGCCACCTCTCGGCGGACTGCGCAGTTTCGTCCATCCACCTCGTTCAGGAAACCGCCGAGACCCGAGACCCGAGACCCGTGACTCGGCGCTTTGAGGCCGAGGCATCCGTCTCCTTCAGCAAGCCAGAGGGCCTCGCAAGCTCCGCGCTGAAACGTTGGAAGTGGTCAAAGGAAACTGAGAGGGAACTTCCATGGCACTCATTGAGCTAGCTCTTGAATGCGTCCTGCATGCGTGATGCGCCTTGAGACTAGATGCAAATGCACGTGACAAACGTCGAAAAGCTGGGAAACGCGAGAACTGGGAAATAAGAAGAGAGCAGAAAGCAAGTGAATTCAGCGTTTCCGCATGTGCGCTAACCGCCCCCGTCGCGATGGCTGCACGGAGGCTGTCGATGGCTGCACGGAGGCGATCTAAGAGCAAGCTCGGAAAAAATCGTTCGGAATGGTCTCAGCGAAAGGGCCCATTGGCACGGCCACCCTCGACCATCGGACTTTCGGTGGGTCGACCCACAAAGCTCGTGGAAGGAGAGAGAAAGAAAAAAGAAAGAAAAAAGAAGAAGAAAAAACACAGACACACAAAAAAAAAGAAACGAGGGGGGGGGGGGGGGCAAAAAAAAAACAAGGAAGAAGAGAGGACAAAAAAAAAGAGAAGGGGGAGAGAGAGAGAGAGAGAGAGAGAGAGGGAAAGCGAGAAAGCGAGAAAGCGAGAAAGCGAGAAAGCGAGAAAGCGAGAAAGCGAGAAAGCGAGAAAGCGAGAAAGCGAGAAAGCGAGAAAGCGAGAAAGCGAGAAAGCGAGAAAGCGAGAAAGCAACAAAAAGAGAAAGACAGAAAGAGAAAGACCGAAAGAGAAGGAGGAAGAGCAACTTGCAAGCAATCAGGTCTCCCAGCAAAAGAAATGCACACCACCGGCATTTCAGCTCTCGATTGCTGGCCACTCGGCGCCCCAACTCTCCGCAGAAGGTCTGCATGAGATCGCTGTCTCCGTTGGACTGCGCGGCCGCTTCGGCGCGAGGTGCCCTTTGAAAGGCCCGGGATGTGGCGGTTCCGCCCGGGGGTTTACCTCTGGGTCGAACACGCATGGGGTTGTCCTTTGTGTGGAAACCCCCAAAATGATGGGTGTCCCTTTACTTTTGCCTTTAACACCATCCAAAAGTAGAACCAAAAAAAAACAATTAAAAAAAAGGACCAGCAAAAAAACGACACCCCCATCTTGTGTCTCTCTTGTGTTCAACTCACAAGGTGCCTTCGCTCTAGGGTTGCTCTCAAGGTATACATGCCACATGGCCTGGGTTTCGAAGGGGATCCCCACAGTTTGCTGCGAACGGAGGGGGCAGAGTGCTTGGTCAACAGCTGCATCATCAAAACCTTGTAGTAACATGGTCTACCCAACTCCATGTAAGGAAATTAACAGGCTACTTCCAGCTTGTACTGCCCCTTACTAACCTGCATCTACCCGGGGTTTGATTGTGGCTCAGCTGTGGTCTTGGATCCTAGGACAGGGAGGCTTGCCCAGAAGCCCACAACTTGGGAAAAAAATTACTCCCTCCCCCTCCCCCCCCAACCTTTGCAGCCCCCCCCCCCACACAAAGAACGGCAAAACCGTTGATCATCCAAAACGCCGAGAGGGGCCGCGCTTCCGATGCTTCCACGCCAAAAGGGGCAAAGCGCGAAAACGCGCCTGGCACTCGCGGGAGACGCTGCGCGTCCAGTCATCCGCAAACTCGTCCACGATCTGCGGCGGTGAGAAAATGAGAAAATCAGCGGCCAAAAAATCAGAAAGTGGAGCTCCCCAAAACAAAGGGATCCATCAACAGTGGCCAAAAACATGGAGAAACTGGGGTTGCCCCAAAAATTGCGGGGATCCATCGGGTTGTTGCTTGTCTTTGGGCGAAATAGGCCCAGCACAGGTTTGCAGTGGCGGCCAGGAGAAGCCCTCCCAGGCTTGGAGGCATCTTCAATTGGGAAAAGCGCCCATGTTGAGCCCTTTGCTTTTTCCACCAAAAAACCGGTTGGGGGAGGCATGATATGGGGTTACAGAAGGCTTTCAGCCCTGTTGCTTTGCATTTGTTTGTTTGTTTCATTCCATGGGCTTTGGGTGGCCCCTTTAATGCCCCTGCATTATGACTAAAGGTGTGCGGAACCGTCCTCGAGAGACAGTCCCAACCCGGTTTTACTATCCCTATCTTTCGTTGTATACCCAGAAATGTCATTTCCTCAGTAGGTAACCAAGGGACCCTTTGAGAACCAAAAGGAAAATGGCTGGTTACCCATACTCGCAACTGGGATGGAGTTGTTTGCAGCTTGCAACTGCTTTGGGTTTCTCTTTGAAGACCGAATCAGGAAAGGACTTTGGCTGGCAAACATCATACCCGCCATTTTACCATGGAGCCCCTTACCATCACTCCTGGCACCTGACATGGCCCCTAGACGAGGATCGGGACGTCCCAGGTCCCCAAGGTGCCAGCTGTTCGTGGGGAGGGATTTTGCTCTGCCGCCGCCACCCCCGCCACCCCGTGACCCATTCCGCCGCCCAGTCCGTGACCCTTTCCGCCCACTAGACTGCAAGAGCTCAGGCGCCCCTGCCATTGAGCCGCAGGCCATCTGCTGGGTGCGGTTCCAGGCCACCAGCAGCATCTCCTTTCCCGGGTGTTGCTTTGTTGCGTTGTCGCTTTTGTTCTTCTTCGTTTTTCCATTTTTCTTTTTTGGGGGAGGGGAGGGGGGTGCTTTTTGCTTTTTGGGGGAGGGGGGCAGGAATTTTCGGATTTCTTTGGGGAAACCCGGGAGGGGCAAAGCCAACGGGTGGGAATGGGGAACAAGGAAAACTGGCCGGTTCTCTGAAGTTTGTTTGTTCCGTTTTTTGGGGAACGCCAACCAAAAAGTGGGACGCTTTCACTCTATGGTTCATTGCTTTCTCGATTCTCTCCCATTCTGTGAAGAAACCACCCCACCCCCTCACATATTAACGGGGGCCCCTTGTAGTGTTCTAGAGCCCTGATCAGAAACTCAGCGCCGTTCATCCGGCTCTTCTCCTCCGTACTGGCAAATTGCGTATCATCTTTCGAAGCAACTTGCTATGACTCACACACTGCACAGAGTGGATTCGCAAGTTTGGAGACCTTCAGTGGAATCGCTCGTTTGATCCTTCGACCGACTCAGCGTTTGCCCTTTCAAAACCCCTCCTGCTGCAGGTCTGGCACTAGGTTCGGCCTTCGGCGCACCAGTCTCCGAATGGCTCGGGGGCTCGGGTCCGAGCCCAGAGGGAGCGAGTGTTTGAACAACCCATTTGAGGGCTACCAGGCTCTGGTTCCAAACTTTGCAACCAACCCGTACGATGGGAGGACTCACCCACCTCCTTACCAGGGTGGAATGGATCGACACGTTTGGAGTCGAAATTGGGTCCTGAAACCCAAGAAAACCCGTATACCAAGGGGACACCACAGGAAACCACAGCAAACCCGCTGGCCCTAGGAGGCAGGAGCAACTATGCCAATGTGATCTTTCCTGGCTCCCGAAGCAGGTCATCCGGCGAATAGCTCTTGAAACCTGGGCATCTGAATCACCATAGGCACCAAAAAAAGGCTAGCGTTGATGTCCCTTTCCACAAAAGGGTACCCTCCAAACACCACGGAGCCTTTGGTTCATGGCCAGACCTTCCGAAAAGCCAGCTCGCTAAGGCAACTTTGGAGCCCCGCAAGGGCGGAGGGACCGCTGGATCGAGCTGCGGCACCCAGTTCTGGTTGGGTTCCATGGCGTGAGTGTGTCACAACACCGGCCCTCGTTTGAAAGGGGGAAAACACCGATAGACAACATCCACTTGCCAGTTGGTTGGTGGTTTATCAACCAATCCAAATAGGGCTGCATGCATCCCAACTGGTGCCATCAACAATATGAGAGCAAGGTTGCCAGTGAACTACAGCAGTCAGTTTCACCAGTGAACTACTGGCTCAAGGCCTAACTCGGTTCCAAGCTGATCAACTCCCAAGCAAACTCATCGAAACTTTCGAACGGCAGGGTCCCTACAAACGTGCTCCCTTCCCGCAACTCACCTTGGAAGAACCTTCCACATGGGCAAGCTGTATCGCCCTAACCTCCAAATGGGCAGCTCTCAAACACATAGAGATGCCTCGGTTTCCCTTTGGCCTCCATGTAAAGCAGACATATCATCCAAACGCAGGAACACAACTCCAACAGCCCAAACAAGCGCCGAAACTCTTCTTGACCGAGCCTCAAAACAGGTTCCCTGGTGCCCCTTACCCAAGCAAAAACCATTCCTCCGCAAAGGCCAACACCCCTTTTGCCTCAACAGGAGAAGAAACCAAAACCCCCCATCGGCCCATGTTTGATTTCTAGACTTATATTTAACCCAAAACCCATCCCTTGCGTCTACCTTTAAATCATCCATTGGAATTCTACCTTGGATCATTGAAACAGGTCACCATCCAAGCGTCTACCTTTGGGTCTTGCTTCCATCAATCCCTAGATTGGGTCAATCGGAGCTTCACCCTTCGGTTCACAGGTTACTTGTTTAGATGTGAATATGAGTATGGGTCAAAATTAAACCACCAGGAATTGGACCACAGGCTTCAGTCCATCTTTCCATTTACCGACCGGGCGCTTGCCCATTTTGGGGTGACCAACTATTCTTGACAAACAGCCATATGGGTGTGAATTTTAATCAGGGACCCTTTGGTGGACATCATGTGGGGATTTATGTCCACCAGCCACTTTTCAGGGGGTTCCAACCACTAAAATTCACAGCCATCTCAATCCCCAGGTCGGGGTCCAATGGCTCAGCCTCCCACGACTCCCACGACGCGCTGCGCTCGACCGAGCGCCCCGGGCTTGCGATCTCTGCGCACCGCCGAGGCCACGCCCACTTGCGGGATCAGGGGCTTCCGCACCTGGCTGCGAAGAGTCCGAGTCTCCCGCCCCACCCAGTTTTTGTGTTTTTTCTCCCACCAAAACATCTTAGCGTTTTCCCCCAAGAAAAAACAAACGTAGCCCTGGGGGCTGTTTGGACGACCCCAGGAGCCAGGGTGGACTGGAAGCCCAGCCATGGGGGTCTTTCCCCCCCCTAACCCGAGCTGGATCTACGTCTGATGACCAACACTGCCCGGTTTCGCGCTACCAAGGGCCTGAGGCCAGGCTTGAGCTTCGGAAGCTGACGTGCTGTCGGGCTTCCCTATCCCCCATGAAGGTCTCGAAGGCTGGGACTCCTGAAGCCTAACCGGTCTACCCACAGACCCAGGCCCTGCAAGTTGGACCCCAAGGCTTCTTTGCGTCGAAAAGGTACCTCAAATTCGAAAGTCACCCATGGTCCCCTGTCCCACTTGAACCAAATGGTTTTGAAAAGACACTCAGGAACGCCCGGCTGGGGTCAAAAGAGCCAGCTTCCACCCTGCTTCGGTCGGCTAGAAACCCGGTCAAACAGCTTCCCCATCAACCCGATCTTCGCGGTGATCTGGCACCCGTTGGTGACAGCTTCGGGAAGTGGATTGCGGCAAGCCCACCGGCGATGCTCCTTTCTCAGCACTTGCCCTGGTAAAATGGGAAGAAAAAGACAAAGGCATCTAAACCAGCGCCATCTATGTCTAAGCAAACAAACCTGTCCTCAGCTATGTCCTGGATCCAACTGATTCAACCAGAGCCCAGCGTTGGCCACTTCTCATATTGCAGGCTGGGTCTTCGGAGCCCGGGTTCGGGTTAAGATCCACCCCCTGAACCCTCAGAAAACCACCAGGTCACATTTTGGGGGAAAAAAGGCATATCGGGGGCGTGTCGTGCCAGGCCACTGTTTCGGGTTGCTAACCACGCACTGGGCTGTCCAGCAAAGTGCGAGAATGTGCCAAACGGTATTACGGTATGGGTTGCTTTTGATGTCCCCCAACAGGAGGCTGCCCTTTCCCTTGGGCTTCCTCCCCAAAAAATCTGGAGGAGTGGCTGAAAAGGATGGGTGACTCTCTACAAATCTCAAGATCGGGTATCCCCTCTTTCGCTTGGCATTTTCGACGCCGAGAGAAGAAATGCGAAAGGAACCGCCGCGTAGCTGTCCCATCTTTTCCCCAAACCCCTGATGCTCATTGAGGTATACCCAACTTTCCGTAGGCTCCGAGCGAATTTGGTGCGGTCCATCAGTGCTCTTCATAAAATTTTATGCAGTGCACCGGGGGCATTTTATACAAGAGGTGGTTTCCGGAGGCCCTGGAGTTTGGAGATGTTTTCTTTAATTCCCAGATTTCGGAGAGGATGTTTGGCTCTCCCAAACCCCGACTCCGTTTTGGTGAACCTCGACGCCTGAGACGCCATGGGCATCCCCACGGCATGGGTCTTGTTCAGGTTCTCGAAGGCATCCATCACGGCCTACCGGGCTTGGGAACCTCTCGGCTTTTTGAGCCTTGCTACCCCCCTGTGTTTGGTTGGCTTTCAAGGGAAACCAAAAGGAAGCCCTGCTTTGAGGCTGCCTTTTGTTGGCTGTTGTTGGGGAGCCCGAAAATCTTCAACACCATTTTGGTGGCCCTAAGAAACGACCAAACCCAGCTCAGCAATTTGCGATGCTGAAAATCGTCTACTCCCCAACCACCTTTTGGTTCGGCTGGGTCATAAAAGACGCGACCCCCAAAAAGCGCTGGGGCCCCGGGCGCTCACCGCGCTCTCCACCGGCGGGAGCTTCACCTCGACCAAGCAGGCCCCGGGTTTTGGGGTGGGTTCGGTCAAGGGGGTGGGTGATCCGCAAAGGCCGGGTTGGTTGTTTTTGAGTTGTTTTTGACTCTTCTTGTTTTTGTGTGTGTGTGTGTGTTTGTTGTGTGTGTGTGTGTGTGTTTTTGTTTTGGAGTTGTTTCTTGTCTTTTCTGGTCCTTCGCGGGAGTTTCGGCCGCTGAAACCCAATCCAGGGTCCTATTGCCAGATGCTTGGCATAGAGGATTCCAAAGCCACTTCCGAGGTTCAAGGTAGGCTGCAGCAAGGTGGGCAGGTGAGATCTAATTGTTTTGTTGCAGAACGACACATGCACTTGAAAAAAAAGGGTGGAGAATTCCTTTTGCGGGCTACCCCACTCTTTCCTCCCAGGTTGCCCCTTCAGCGCCCAAAGTGGGCGGTTCGAACCGATCCGACCATGACTACTTCTTCATAACTTTAGTTCGGAGACTCTAACCTGGCCACTCACGGAAGCAGCAGCCAAAGCCCTGCTTTGAGGTTTGGTTTTGGTTGCTTCAGGTTTTGCGAGTGAACCAAACACATCCACGGCAAATTGCGGACCAAAGGGCTTCCTCTATTCATCTACGTATTTTGCTTTTTCGTTGGCATTCGCGCATTCCCACGTGCCAAGCCAAGTGATTCATGCGGTTCATGGTCCCCGCGCTGTTTTGCAGGGTCTCCCCCCCCCCCCAATTTGGTGAGGCAAAAGAGAAAAAGAACAGATGCCCGTTTCACCCCAATTCAGACAACGCCAGAAGCCACATCCTCGGCGGAATTCGGAGCGATAAACCCATGGCGACCCAACCGCGATGCATTTTCAGGCGCCTCCAAGATCCAGATGTCGAACAACTCCCCCTCGAAGTCGGATCGCTCGAAGGAGCTCATCATATCCTCCAGCCTAGACCAAAATGTGGGGGGAGGCTTCGCACTTTCTGCCCGTTTGGGGCCTTTCGGTGCAACAAAGCGGTCAGCGCCAAGTCGGCGGTCAAGTAAAAAAGGCCAAGAATCACAACGAGTTTCTTGATCCCCACGCCTTTGGGGCCCTGGACATGTCCCTTTTCACGGCAAGGGAATACATGGCTGGCTACTGGCGACAAGAAGGGGGGGCCTCCAGAATGGATAGACCTCTCTACCTTCCTGGCTCCCGAGTCTTTGGTTCTTCTCTTCCAGTTAATAAGGCTACCTATGGCTTTGATGTTAGCCTAAGGGTATACATCAAGGGATGGGGCTGGTCCCAACTAACATGCACATAGCTCTCAGAAATCGGAAATGGACCCCGTAGAATGGTCAGCTTCCTTTTTGGCTTCCACACCACAAGAGGTCCCCAACCTTTCGGATTCGGGGCTCGGACGACTATCAATTCACGACCCCTGGTCTTTACCTCGAGATGTGAACCAGTATCGGTTAGAGGTCTCACGACTGGTTTCCCTTGCGCCACAACCTTCGAAGAACCCCTTCTCTCCTTTTCTTTGTGCGACTTTCTGGGCCCCAAAAACTGCTTCCGGGCGTTCCTCCGGGTGTTCCTTTCCTTCTGAAGACGGTTGCACCCACCCCAGGCCGTTTCCACGTTCGCGGCCGGGAATCAGGGACCCGTGCCCGGGGAGGAAGGCTTTGGTGCCCACCTGGCAACGCTAGTGGATTCTTACTCCCCACAGATTCCCCCAAACACCCAGCGGAGAGCAAAACACCCTGCCAGTTTTTCCAAGAAAAATCCTTCTGGGGGAGGGGAGCGGAGAAAACGGGGAGCAAAAAACTGGCCAGAGCGCCCAGTACAAGGGACAGAGAGAGGAAGGGGAGCGAAAAGTTGGCTGAAAAGCCTGCAGTCCCCATTCGGCGCCTGCCTTCCCCAAAGTTATTGGGACGCTGGGTGAGCACTGCAAATTGATTGATAACGGAAAAACGGGCAAATCAGTGGCCCCATTGCTCTCTGGCAAGCTTTCGTGTCATTTGGAGGCTTTTGCTGACCCGGTTGCTCTGGGGACCCATTTTGATGTAAGGGTTCTCGCTGAAGGGTTGCACGTAAGGAAGCCAACTTGTTTGGGTGTGGCAAAAGATTTTGCCGAACGTGGCCCTCTGATTATTGCCGACCGCCCTCAGGTTTGCAAGCCGAGCGCGTTGCGACAGGGATTTTCCCAGCTCAGCTGGGACCCTTTCATCTTCCAGTTGCTGGTGTCGCCAAAGAATAAATGATCAATCAGGACAGCACAACAAGGTTCAAATCGCCCTCGGCAAAATGGAAGCAACGATGAAGTAGGCCATAAAAGGGACGGGCGTTGGCTGAACCCAAAAAATGCCGGTTGGTTCATTCAATCCAAGGATTCACTGACAGCGAAGCGACACACTCGACTCACAGGTTGGGACCTGCTTGACTATTCTTCAAAGAAAAACAAAAAAACAATATTTGTCATGGATGTCCCCCTTCACAAGCTAAATTGACCTGGGGATTTGATGCCCTTTGAGTGGGCCTTGGTCACATCGCCTCGTACCTCTCTCCCAATCCCAAAAAAGGCCGCTGACTTCTGATTCCAAACCCGCGACTGAGAAAGGCCGACATCTTGAGCAGCCCTTCAAAACCGCCCACCCACCCCCCCACCCCCAAACCGCCCCGCACCCTCCCAAAAGGAACACAAAAATTGAGGGAACAAAAAAACAAGGAGGGTCCCAACACCTGCCACCCCTCCCCAAAAGCGCCACTCGGCACTCGGTGCCACCAAGTCCTTCCCAGAAAACTCCCCGCGCCGTCGCCGCGGGGAAGCTCATGTCCACCGCCAGCGCGATCTTGTTGGCGCCCCGCGCCTGGAATTCGAAACGTAGCCCACTGCCATGCCCACAGAAAAACATGCGCCGTGCATTTGGGAGATGGCCCGGTTTTTTGGCGAGCCTGGAATACAGCCATAGGGAAAATGTTGCCCCTCCAAGAGAAAACGCACAGCAAATTGAACCAAATCATAAGGTTGAAGACAGGTTTGTGCCCATCTCCAAAGCATCCGAACCCCTTGTTGTTCAACTCACACGCCTCCTTTCAAAGTCCAGCACACCTTGCAGAAATTTAAAATAAAACCAAAAACTGGCGTGCAGCAGTTTCATAACAGGGACTTCCACCCCAACTACGTAAGCCCCAACACCTGTTTTGGGTGTGTCTTGAGCTTCTTTCGGCAACTCAACCTCCTGCACGTAACCATGGTTCTACCCCAGCTGTGGGTGCTTCAATTGGGTTAAAATGTCAAAGCCACTGTCACCAACCTGAGTGCTAAATAGGGCTTGTGCAGAACAAATCAAAGAAACCCCCATCCCTCCCTCGCAATTGCAACAACGATGGCAGCTATCGATCCCACAGAAACACCATGTATGCTTCGCAGTCCTTAGCCGCCACTCCCCGCCAATGGCCATGGCTCAAAACCCAAAGCGTACCCCCAGTGAACATCAACCAATCCAACCACTAAAATAGGTCCTAAAATGGATGTGGTGGATTCACCGAAAACCAACCAAAATGGGATCCCGTGTAACGGTTTTGACTCCCCCACGGCCATCGCTTTTCGGAACGCGCCTCAGCCCCAGCCTCAGCCCCACCGCGATCGATGGATCGAGCCGCGCCTCGGCCTCGGTGCCGCCCAACATCTGGGCCACGCAGCTGTAGACGGCGCGGAGGGCGATCCTCGCTTTGGGAACGGCCGGCGAAAGAGAGAGACGCACGTCCGGCATCGAGGACCCCAAAGGTCTGAACTGTTTTTTGTTTTGTTTAAACCAAAAACAAACAAACAACGTCTAAACCCAAGTGGCTGTGGGTCAAAACCCTGTACTGGTGAACATCAAAATAGGTAGCAAATGGATGCTCATCCACCCCTATATGGAGCCATCGGTTATTCCCCATGGCCAAGTTAGAAGGTCCACCTCAAAAAGTGAGAAGAGTTGTGCCAGCAAACCCAGAAAAGTCGGGCGGAATGGCTAAGTGGGTGTAGATATTCAATGGGATATGGAACCCCACAAGAGGCTTTGGCTTGTCTTTGGCGTTCCTTGAAAAGCAACCAAAGAGGGCACTGACTCTGAACAAATACGTCAACTTCAGACTGATCTGGGCAAGCGTACTGATCAAGAAGGGTTCTGCCAAAAGGATCATGTGGATGTGTCTTCTTTGAGGCTGCCCTTTTGCATTGTGTTCAAGGAAACAAGAAGGAAACCAATGTTTTGGAAGTCAACATGGAGCAAACTTGGCAGAAAACGGGCAGAAAGGGCGCTGGAATGGAACAGTAGAGAAAGTCATCTCTAGTCTCTACTGCGTACATCGCCATTCCCCCCGCTTAATACAACCGCAACGTGCAGCCTCAAGTTGCCTTGTTAAAAGCTCTTCTCTCTCAGGGGGGTTGAGATCCTATCAACCGCAGATCTGTCTCCGGGGTCCCATGAAAGTAGAACCACGATCCCGCAAGTTGCGCCGTGTCACCAGCATGCCAAGCTCCGCGGCTCGTGGTGCCCTCAAAGAAGCCAACCACGGGGTGAAAACCGCAACCAGGCCTTTTGGGTATCGGCCAAAAAAAATCGGGGGGGGGCGGCTGCAAACATGGTTGGTTTCCTGTGTTCCTTTGAACCGACCTAAACAATACACACGCATTTGGGCCGCACACCCTTACTATTGAGGCCATCCAGGCCGCGCATTTGGGCCCCATCTGGGGGACTCATCCAGGCCCTTGCTATTAAACCCACCACAAACCAACCCACCCCACCAACCCCAAATCCACGCGAAACTGCGGGTGGATTTAGCCTGGGTTGAGGGAGGGCTTAGGCTGGTCTTAGAGATACTTCAGGGTGACGTTCCCGCGTCCTGGTAAATCTTCGCTCGATGAGGGAGCTGTCATCTGCCGCACTGTACCTAACAAATCCGTAAAAAGAACACAACCGGCTCAGTCTGCGGGAGGTTCCATTCGAGCCACGGGGCGAAAGACAGGCACAACCACATGAAACACGTTGAACCCAAAAAGACGAGCATCTCCTGCAATAAGGGACCCTACATGATTGGTTCGCGCGCTCTACTCTGGGTGTGTGGGGGTGTGCGTGCGCGCGCGCGTGCGTTTGTTGTCCCCTTGCAGAGAGCCGAGCAACAGGGGTTTGAATGTTACAACACGGATTTGCGCTCATTTTATAACACACACACACAATTGTGCACATAAACCGACATCGCGGTCATTTTCCAACAATTGGACCGGAACGGGATTGCTGTCCAAAATGTTGGACTTCAAACGGCGATAATTTTGCAACACATGAATGCAAAGCTTGTCATATTCTATCCAAAGAAATCAGCAGCGGGCAGACAAGTCAGATCCATCCGTCTCATTGAACTGTGATCTGAGCGGCCAGCGGAATTGGTTGGGACTTGCCTCAACACGTTTCTGCTAGCGGGGGTTTCACTGTTTGTGGTTTGGGTGTGTGTGTGTGTGTGTGTTTTTTCTTGCTTGTCGTGTGCATGCTGCCGCTACCTGGCGTCTCCTTCTCTTTGCTGCCCAAGCCATGGGCAGGCCGCACGCCAGAATGCGCGCTCACTGCATCCAAGACCTGGCACTTCTCAGCGCACCTGGCAACCAAACCATGGAAACAGTGGAAATTCTGGAAACTATGGAAATTTTGGACACCACGAAAACAATGGAGAACCCATGCAAACCGTGAAAACTCCAGAAAAACCCATGGAAAATCCCTGCGACACTCTGTGGAAGCCAGGGAAACCGGGGAAACCGCCGCAAGAGAACTGTGGAAACCGTGAAAACAAATTCTGGCAAACCCTAGAAAACCCTGGAAAACCCGTAGAAAACCTGTAGAAAACCCATGAAAAACTTCAAAAAAATCTGGAAAACCCTGGAAAAACTCTGGAGAACCCATAGAAAATTTATGAAAAACTTCAAACAATTCTGGAAAACCCTTGAAGAAACCCTGGAAAACCCATTCCAGGCAAATCCCTAAAAGTTGGTACGGAACCACGCCATTTGCGGGGCCCCAAACCGGCACACGCGGCTCTGCGGCGCACCCGTTGGTGATGAGCCGGGAGCTGCCCACCAGGTTCTCCAGGGTCGGCAGCCCGCCCACCTGACGGCGTGGACGTCCCTTGGCTCTACTTTGTCCGAAAACTTGTTATCATTAGCATTCTTGGTATTATTATGATCATTAGTCTTATTGTTGTGGTTCTTAAAACCAACAAAGGCAGGGCCTGGAGAAACAAATCGCTTTCCTTGGTCTCAGGCCGAATGCGCAAAGCCTTGGCACAAACGAGCCGGGGGCAATCATAGCCGTTTTGAGGTGGCCCAACGGCTTCGACTTTTTGGGCTGAAGGGAACCATCGAAACCGAGCCGTCTTTAGGGCCCCCAGGCTCCCCCCCCCCCCCAGTTTGACCAGTCCTGTCTTTCCAATGGAAGCTGACGCGTCGGAACCCTTCGGAACCCGCTGCCGTTGGGAGCTCACGAGGTACACCGGGCTAGCTCGGGATTCCCCAATCATCCTGTGGCCTAGAGGTGATGGTGGACATGTTTTGTTGGGCTAGGGGGGGGATTCTTGAAATGGTGACCTCGTGCAATTGATGGCTTAAGGGAAACCAAAGGGACATGATTGGATTGATGGCGTGAAGGTTAGGGCTAGCTTTTCAAAAGCGAGGGGTTCAAATCCTCAAACCGATCCAAACAACCAAGGAAGGGTTACCTCATTCTTAGCATGGCTCAAAAGACGGATGCGAGATGCTTCGCCCATCAAGAGCCCTCTTGCATTGCTGCACACCAGAGATGCATACCCAGGGTTCCTTACGTGCGCCCTTGAAACATCACCCCAACGAAAACTCTGACTAAAATAACCCCGAACATGATGTCTAAATCATCGAAAGGGACATGTGTCCGCCTGATAAAAGGCAAGTGCTCCCGCTCACACCTTGACCCTCTCTGGTGCCCCCGAATCCGCGCGCGTAACCCATTTGTTGATAATCCACATGGAATCACAAGTTGCAACCGCCAGTGTTGCCTTTACTCTCCCATCCACCAACACGGAACCTAACCAGTCCTGGCTCACCATCTTCCTAGAAAGGACCCTTTGACTTGGTCTCTCGTCAAGAACATCACCAGCCTCTCCTCGCATGGAGACACCCAGAGATGAAAGCCCCAACACGCCGATTGGCCGAAGGCCGCCCCTTCGCTTCCGGGCAGCCCGGCGCTCCAGAACTTCACCTCATGTCAACGGGTCGGTGTTGGAAACCCCAGCCGAAACAAGATCAAAGGGCGGCAAGCGAAATCAGCCGTCGAAACAAGCATCAAGGCATCCAACATCCATCCAGGCCCTTTCAAAACCCGCCCTTGCATCCCTTGAGGCTTGCCAAACATCCCAACCTAGGTCAAAGGGTTCACCATGTCCTGAAAAGACCATATCCCTCAGGGGAAAATACCAAATGAGGAGTACACAGGTACATGGCGGCTCAAAAAACCCGGGTAACCTCAAAATGGCCTGCCCCTGGCAAGTGGAAAAAACATGGAAACCGAAACCTGCGGTTTGCCCCCTGCGGTTTATCCTGTGTAGTTTTGAGCCACATTTTCGAGGGCAACCAAAAGAGTCCCCAAGAAGGGCCTCGAAGGAAGCGCTACCCCGTGACCCCGTTGGCTTCCGCCGGTTGCCGCGGAGAAGGTTTCCCGTAGGGTTTATCTTTGTATCCCTGAAGCCTCTTGGATGGTAAAGAGGGTTTAGAGTTTAAAGTTTTAGGATTGAGGGTTCAGGGTTTAGGGTTTAAAGCTTTAGGGTTTGGGGTTTAGGGTTTAGGGTTTAGGCGTGGTCACGGGTTTACCTAAAAAATCCTTGCCATGTTGGTCTACAACCCCTGTGAACGGGTTTGATGGCCATCACTACCGACCCCCAAGTATAGCAATTATATATATATATATATAAGTCTGTTGACGGCACATGTGAGACCCGTGAGGGCATTGGGACGGGTCCCTCCGACAGAAGTCCTTTCAATTTTCACATTTAAACATCACCAACCACCCAAGGGACGCTCGTTTCATTTCAACGAACACCTACTTATAGCAATAACTGACCCAACTGGACGCAATCTGGGTCGATTACACTGATGTTTGCAAAAACCCTCCAAATAGCTTCAAGGGTTTTGCTGCCATAGAAATCGTGCGAACCCTCAAACGGCAACTTCAAGTCGAACCCAGTTCTTGAGCCCTTTGCCACATTTGCCCCAATAACCTGCTGCGGATTTGTTCCCGGGCGCTTGGCCTCCCGGCGCTTTCGTGGAGCGTCCCCCCGGTGGAGAGGCAAGGGTGGGAGCCAAAGGGCAGCGCCCCGCCGCCTTGGACGAAGTACCTGCGAGACTTCGTTCGGAGTGGGACGGTCCCAAACTTCTTGCTTCGAGAAGCGAACGAGAAAAATGCTTGAACCCCATGCCCTATGGTTTCCTTGATGGGAAGCAGGTTCATTCCCCAGCCTATCAGCAAGAAAAAGATTGGCTTCCCTTTGGTTCCCTCGCCTTTCCCGAAAGGCACGGAAAAGGACCATCGCCACTGGATTCGCCCGAACGGTCAATGAGCTTGTCTCAACGCGCCGCGTCAAAGCTCATTGATAAAACCTGCGTTCCGCACGATGGGGTCAGCTGGTTTTTTTTGCTTTGCAACCAAAACAAATCAGCACCAAAAAGCAAAGAGCCAAAAAGGGGGCACCAAGCAGAGACTTGCAACCAAAAAGGGGGCACTCCCAAAGGGGGCGCCGAAAATTGGTCCGCTGCTTCCCTCGGTTCGCCTAAGCTTTACACACCAAACAGAGGGAGCTTCCAGCTTCAACGGCCCGGCGCACCGCATGAAGGGCCCGAACTTCCTCGCAACGAAACGACGGGCAAGCCGCTCCCAAACCGAACTCAACTTGCATGATATCCCAGGAGGATATCCCAGGAGGATATCCCAACTGGGGGAGTGGTACCAAAGTCACTTGGGTAAGAGAATTACGGAACTCTACCATCTTTGTTGTTCCCTTCAACCAACTTGGAGAATGAGACGCGGTTTCCATGGACTGGGGGTTCCAATCACCCGAACCACCTGCTCAAACCACAAATTCAGGGTTGTCTGATTGGTGCTACCACTGAAACATGTGATTGTGGCCTAATTGAAAAAGGACAATGGACAAGTCATGCAAATGGAAGGCATCAAACAAGGAAAGTCAGATGGTCTTCCAGACCAGGCGTTAACCCCGAAACTTGTCCGGGATGAAGGGACCCCCCCAAGCTCCAAGCCGGAAATCCAAACCAAGTAGAGGGAAGCTGAAATAAACCTAAGAATGGAAGCTGTCCTTTTCCCTGAAAGGAGATTCTGCGCTTCAAGGATGGCCTTTGGGGGGGGGGCTTTGGAACAAGAAACAGTCATGCTCCAAGAAATCTCCGTTGAACCCAGTGCTTTGGGTTCCAGTTGCATAGACGCAATGTCTCCCCTCTAATTGCCCCCCAAAAGGAAACTTTTGTGAACCCCACTCTTGCTTCAAGCTGGTGAAGTTGACAAAGATCAAAACAAGGCCCTGAGTTTGGCGTATATATGAAACACGCACAACTCTTACCTTTCTCTGAGCAATGGACCAAAGCTTCCTCTAGCCTCTAGCCCACGTTTTGCAAGATAGGCCTGCCTTCTGGTCCTCAATCGACCCAGAGCCCTCATGCCCACGTCCTCCCCACACCCTAATGAAGGCCGTCAAGACCAACCCTATGGATGGTACAAGAAAACACAATTGACAAAGTAAAGGCGGACTGAACGCTTGGATTTCAAGAACTCACCCAGGGGGCCACCAAGTCGGCGGGGCAAAACCCGGCTGAAAGGGAGAAACCGTTTCGGCACGGGATGTGTTGAGTTGCAAGAATATCCATCTTGGTTGAGGTTACAGCCCACGAAATAAGCTCGTCTTCCTTTGCAATCTTCTGCCAGGCTGCAAGTGTCATGCTACGTCGCATACAAAAGGGTCCAACATCCAATTTGTTCGGTTTTCACAGGGGTCCCTACGTCTCCCTTTAAGCCCCAACTGAGAGGCAACTCGCCCAAAACTGGCAACAGGTAATGATCGAAACTACCCTTTGATGGGGAAGTATAGGGAACCCCGTCCAATCTCATAAAAGCTTCCCTTTACGCAAGCGATTTCTCCAGTTGCAAGCAGACCGCACTGAAATGCCCCAGTGGCCATGGGGAAAAAAAACGGGCATCTCTGGTGACATAATTTCTTTTGTCAGTTGACTTCAAAGGGATGGTTCCCTTCCGGGAAGAAAAAAGAAGAGAGAAAAACAAAACAAAAACAAAAAGAGAGAGAGAAAAATAGAAAAAAGAGAGAAAGAGAGAAAAAAGAAGAGAGAAAAACAAAAAAAAAGCGAGAAGAAAGAGAAAGAAGGGCGCCACGGGGCAACTGGAATCGGAGCTCCGGCGAAAGGATCGATCCGATTCCAAGGGGCTCTTGGATCAGCGCTTCCATCTCGCTGGCGGCCTCGGAGGTCATGGCCCCGAAGGCCCGGGGCTTTCCCCATGGATCTGGGCCGGGTGAAGAGAAGCCCCTGAGCACTGAGCCGGGCGTGTGGAATTCGGCTCTGACGTTGGGTGTGGGGAGCCAAAAAATGGGAAAAAAAAATTAGCCGTTGAGTGGTTGGAGTTCAACCTCTGAACCGCAAGAAGCAAAAATGGGCAAAATGTTTCCCAACAACAACCATGTCGGGGAGATCTCATTCTTCACGGCTTCTTTCGAAGGTCCGCCGTTTCACGCGACATCCGACATGACCCACGGTCAGAATAGGAGGCTGCCACTGTGGGAAACAATAGAAAAATGTCCGAACCACGTATGGCCTGAGCATGCTCCAGAAGGAGGGATCCCTTTTGGTTGGCATTTAAAGAGAAAACAAAAAGCACACCCACCCTCTTTTCCCCTGTTTGCAGATTTATCCCGTCGTTCCAGACCCTGCTGCAGGGCTCCCTATGTTTCCCTAAGCATCACCCAAGGAAAAATCAGCCGTTGGCAATCATGCATTGGTCTCAAGCAGCGAAACATCGAGGGAAACTACACGGAAAAGCCCTGTGCAATGGTCAGCCGTGAGCTTTGCCGACAAAAAGGCCAGCCCAGCGGCTAAACCCTCCGCGAGGTAGTGCTGGATGGAAAACCTCGGCTCTGGTTCCCAGGCCTGGGAAAGCAAACTTGGATTGAGCCGTGTTCCCGCCCCGTCCGCTTTCGCGTTTCGACCCAAAGTGGCAAAGGAGCAAACTTGTTGGGCCGCCTGGCCTGAAGACCGGCCGGACCCTCTAGCCCAGGAGGGAGAAAACCCGTCCACCTCTCCTCCAGATTCATGAAACCCCCCCCAATTGCTGATGGCAGGTCTGCGGGGCAAGGGATAGGGTTCCTAAGTTTGCAAAAGAAGCTGTCCCGTAAGCTTCACATACAACTTGCTACCATTCCTTCTGCTACTCAAGCGGCATCTAGCTGCTAAGCTTCTACCCTTTCTCAGCTGGGTCTGAGTGTTGATTGGTCTCTCTTTGGCGGGCATCGCTTGCATGGTTGGATTTGCACGGATGGGGGGAGATCCTGCCTCAAGCTTTCAAGGGGGAAATGATCTGCTAAACATCCAAGAGGATGTTAACACTTTAGGTTATAACCTATGAAAATATATCGAGAAGGACGGGACGAAATCGCCGGGGAAACCTGTGACCAAGCTCCCCTTGCCCTTGGGAGGTGTTTGTCGGTGTTAAAACCTCTTCCTAAAACCCCAACAATTCCCAGTTCGCCTCCACACTCACCAGCTTGGGAGCTGCGAACAGGTAAGAAAACCTGTTAACAACGCCAACAAGGCCTCAACGGTTTGGGTCGCAGCAGCCGCCGTCCCCCCCCTCCCCTTTCGCCAGCTTGGCATAGTTCGAGGGAACCCCCGATCCTGGCCCCCGAGCTGTTCCCCTTAAAATCTAGCCACTCTCATTAGGGAGGCCACACCCACGTTGATGACGCAACCGGCCCTACCAACCCAAAGTGAAAGGCATCGCCGAAAACGCTGCGATTGAAACAACATGAAACCAAGTAGTGTTAAACTAGCCAATACTTTGGTTGGCAAATGACCAAGGTAGTAAGGCAACCATAGCGTTGAAGCTAGTGAGTTGCTAGTAACTTAGGGTTACGCGTTCCCGTGCGTCAAATACTGCTTTACATTTGAAAGCGCACCAAGAATCGTATGCCTCATATTTAGTGTACCCTACCTAAACAAGAACGAAACGGTTTGGGAGGAGACCCCAACAAAAATACGAAATGACTTCTGTTGTTCCATTTTGCCTGCCGGGAAGCCCTCCCTCCCCTCCCCTCCCCATTTCCCGCCATGGACACCCAGCGTCTATTCGGCAAAAAAAAACACCCAAAACGACCATGGCTGCCAAATATAGACCCCACACGTGTCCACCATACAAGGCCCCCCCCCTTTTCCCCAAAGATTCGGAAACACAAAAAATCACAAAAACCACCCAGGCGCCAAGAGGCGTGGGCACCACCGAGAGGTTGAAGGAGGTGCAGGTGTCCAGGAAGGGCTTCCAGGACCCCGAGTCCGGCAGAGCGAAGTCCTGGCGATCGCTTCGCCAAAAACCGCCGCAACTTCCTGGCGTCAAATCCAAACCCGGAGACAGATCCAACCAAAGGCTTACCTTAGGCTCGGGCCAGTTTGGAAAAAAAACATATTGTTTCTTGCTTTTAAGCATGGGAAAGGTTTGGCATTTGCTTGGAACCTCCGGCTTGAAGGATTTCCAAGTCCGAGGAGTAACCCCTCAGCATTGGGTGCATTGCCGTTTCCTGGGAGTTAGTTTGGGGCCACCCAACAGTGGAGAATGTCAGTTCCTACTGCAGAGTTGCAAGCGAAAGCCACATGCCTTTCCTCGAGGGATTCTTCAAAGGCGATCGGCATTCCAAAAAGCACCATTACTGTGGATATGCAAAACCTACGCCGATCGGCACCGGTTGGAATTGGTGGTTTATGCGATTTCCAGCTGGAGCGACTTTGTTTTTGTCCATCCACAAGGTCCCAACCCCCGAACTGCACCGTTGACTGGGCTAGAGGGCAAAATCCCACTTGATGGCACGGCTGGTAGCAAGCCAAGCAACAAAAAACAATCATGGTTGACATAGGGTTTGTCCTTGTTCTCCCACACCACGACCTTTTCTGCTTGTAGGTTCTCCACATGCTCTCAAGAGGGGCTTAAGCTGCGGGCGCAAAAGAAAAAATCCTCTCATTCCCCCCTTGAGTAGAAGCTACTCCCGCAGTCGCCGAGCTTTGAGGGCGGCGACTTCGATGCGCACGCGGGAAGCTTGTTCGGGCGTTGTGTGGTTTTTGCTATCCACAAGGAGAAGGGGCCATGTCTCTCGCCTCTCTAAACCACATTGGGAACATGGAAACATTCTGGGGCTTGCGACATCCGTACAGGGAGAAACTATTGGCCCAAAGAGGAACCATAAGATGGACAAGGCGACTCTCACGCCCAAGAGTTATCTACAGCGTGGTTTTTCCCGACCGTGAGTGATTCCACATAGCATGTGCATGGAAGCCACGCGTAAGGGTTGGGTTGTTTTACAGCGGGAAACGCTAGGGACCGAGCTTACGGTGACCCCCCCATTCTCTTTGTTTGGTACCCCAAAGAACTACTCAGTCACATAGACCTCTTTGAGGGTCTATGGGACCCAAGTCCGGTTTGGATGTGAGTGACCCCATCAAGGTTTGCCTTGGCCCAACGCTGGCGATAGTTCACCTGTCTTTGGTCGCATCCCATTGGGCTTCCCCTCACTCTTCGTCTGTGCAACTTCTTGCTCAGCGTTGGCTGCGAGCCGCCTTCCAATCCTCCCAAGACAGTTGCTCCGACTAGATCTTGACGTGTGCTTCCGAGAAACTATGGCCGCATCTTTCTTTCATACCAAATCCTCGTGATGCACTTCTGCACCTTTCACGCGGTCCCGAATGATCGCTTCCTCTTTCCGAAGATTGTTCTCGACACTGTCGACCCTTTGCCGTTAAGGACCTGATTTGGATTGATCGGCTTCGAGGAGATCCTCGCGCTTCCCCGAAATTTCCACGTACCACGTTCGCTGTCTCGACTCCCCCCGCAATTCCCGTTTGTAGGTCAGGTTGCAGGTTCATGGCTTCCTCCCATCCCTCTTGCTTTGCGTGTGCATGTTCATTGCAACATCTGCGAAGTCTCCCGCTTCTCCTTCTAGCGAAGCTCCTCCTCTGACAGCTCTCGGCTATTCACTTTTTCTAGCTCCGAGGGGTTTGCGCCCGTATTTTCCCTTTCTTTTGCAGACTTAGGGGTGGGCACGGGAAGCCGACAAACAAGAGCAAGGCAACTGAACACACATGAACTATCATATGCACGCAATGAGTAGTTCACGGAGCACCCTACTTCCCTGAAAGATAAGCGGGGGAAAGCTGGTAACGCAAAGCGAGGCAATTGGGCTGAAACACAATTGGGCTAAGAGGGTCCGGGTGACATCAAGTGTCCAGGGCCTTGAAGGTCATGAAGGTGATTCTGATGCCCAGCGCCGCTCCAACGGGTCCGTGCCAAGAAGTAGGCGCAGCGCGCGCGCGTGCAATTTCGTGTTGCGCGCGCTCGTGCTTGCAGCTTGCGAGCGTGGTCTGTGTTCAATCCAAGCACAAAATATCAGACTGCTTGCACAGCTACTGTGTTAACCTGTGTAACACATGGGGCATGCAGGTGTAGTTTCGTACGATGCGGGCTCGGCTAAGTGTTGCTCCGCGCGCGCCTGGCTTTTTGAAGCCCTGTTGTTTCGCCAAAACTTGACTTGTTGCAAACTTCAGGGCTGCTATAATTCTATTGCAGCCCTTTCCTATGCGGCAAGCGTTCGGGAGTCCTATTTCTGGTTTTTGGCCAGCCGAGGTTAACACTCAGCACACGCTCTGGCAGAACGCGCAACACGCCAACCCGCGCACACGGGTGCGCCTGACTGCTCTTTGAAAACCTCGCACGCACGCTCTGTCTGCGAAGTGCGGCTGCGACGTGCGGCGCCGTGCTGGATTCCAAACGCACGCGTGCTCCACGCTTCTGATGGGTCTAAGCTACTGGGAAGTTCCGTTTTTGACAGCTACAGGAATCGAACTTCTCTCCACGCCACTGCGCCTGCGTAAGGTGAGCCTGCACGCCCGCAACGTCCGCCCGAAAAGTCCGCCCGTAAAGTCTGCCCGTCAACTCCGCCCGAGCTCCGCCCGTGCAGCGGGGTTCGAATGGGAAAGAAGAAGCATTTCAAAGATGCCGCCCTTAAAAGATTCCAAGGAACACCCCCCTCAAGAAGTGCTCAAGAAGTACCAGCTAGCAGTGTTTCTGGTGACCGCCCCTAAAACTTCTTGGGGGCATTAGACAGGCAAACTCCTCCAGGCTAAGGGCAGGCGCACAACCTTCACTAGCACTTGGCAAGCGCCTTTCCAAACTGCAATTGCAACCATGAACAAAGGCTGGCTATCTGCGCGTTGCGCGGCATCAACTCCTGGATGAAGGTCGCACGAATCCGGGCATTGCTTTGCGCCGGCAGCCAACCCAAAGCAGCGCAGCTTCTCTCTCCATACTTCCAAACGGAAAAAGAGCTCGTGGTGTTCAGTCTGTAAGCCGACCCCAAGTGCAAGGAGGTTGAACCACACACCTGCCTGACGCGTCCGTCACCAACCTTGAGCAAGGTTGTGACATGCTCTGGCTCCGCCCTTGCACGCAGCCATATCTGCACCGTGCCCTGCCAAGCGCATCGTGGCTTGTTCTGCAGCTGGCAAGAACGCAAGAACTATTGCAAGAACTGTTGTTTGCGTGGAAACGCTGCGGCAAGAACACAGGCATAGAACGCGGCAGGAAACAGAGGAAGCAGCTGCAGTGAGCCACTCTTCTTTTTCACGCAATCCTGAATCGCATCTCTGCCTCTTCTATTCTAAGGTGGATGGAAACAAAACCTGCACCGCTTGGAGATGATGGGAAACCATTGCTTGTTGGTATTTACATTGAATCATCATGTCAGGGTTTCTTTTGCGGATCAGGATTTCGTCCACGCGGCTGCAGGAACTCTCGATTTTCGACACTTGACCAAAAAACGATTCAATTTATCACAAACATCGTTCGCTCTTATCTCAAAACGAACTGCATCATTGCTAATTAACTTTTAGCACGCAAATCGAAACGCAAACGATCCATGAAAGCTAGCCAAGCAAGATCTGAAGCTTGATCTGATCGCATCTACAAGGAATACCATATCTTGCAACAGTGAAGGATGTCTGTAAATCTCCTACTCATGGAACAAATTCGCGCCAAGCCCCTGGGCGCCTTTTGCGAGCCTGGCGTCGGCAGCAACAACCTCAACCCTTGCACAATGAATTTCAAAGGCTTCGGGCGCCCAACTCTCGTCAACAATGAGTAAGTATGTCGGGTAAAGCCTGCAGCACGCCTAGGCCCTCAGCAAGCCCCCACACTTTTTGTTTCCCCCCAAAACTGATGTAGCCATTGCTGCGCCTTGCAACTCGCAGCAAACACACACGTAAAGAATACAAACCAGCGCTGATGTGAAAGGTTGGAGTTGGAGTAGGGGTTCGTGTCGGCTTGGCCTGATGGAGCTTATTGGCTAGTGATGACTTCAGCAGCTTGAGGGTCTTAGTGATCACGGAATGCTGCACAGCACGCTGCCAGTACAACCTTCTGGTGGAAGACGGTGCGTGATTCTGACAAAGAGCCTCAATTGAGTTGCAGCCAGGCCGCAATAGACCAGCCACGGCGCATCGAATGACCTCCAATTAACTTGTTTTTGGTATTGCGCGGGTTCACTATCATTTTTGCTTGGCTCTAAGATTTGAAAGTGATGCCAGCAAACTAAATCAAAAAAAACGCAACGTGAGTGCTCACAAGTGCAAAAAATAGCCTACAAGGGCTCTGCAAAGACACACTGAGTCTTGCGGATCCAAAGGTCTGGCTACGTCGATTCGCTGAGTCTCACAGCTCGCGGGAAAAACTTTACGGCGGACAACCTGTGAATCCGATCAGAAACGTAGGGTGGCGCAACCAGGAAGGCGTCCCCGCCGAGTCACTCCTTTTATTGTCGCTTACCCGGGCACATACGGATGTCCGAACACTAGCAACCTGAGCCCATATGTTTCATGCATCTGAGTCTAAATGACATGATTCATATGGCCGTGCTTGAAAAACAATGAAATGACACAGAAACAAGCAAACAAACAAACAAACACACAAACAAACAAACAAACAAACAAACAAACAAACAAACAAACAAACAAACAAAACAAACAAACGAAACAAACAAAACAAACAAACAAACAGACAGACAAACAAACAAACAAACAAACAAACAAACCAAACCAAACACAGTTCTTGCAAATCTGGCATGTGGCTGATTATTCACAGAAACAAATACAAAAGCCGCAGGCCCCCCAAATCTCCGGCGCCATGAGCCGCACTGCGTTCGCACCCAGCTGCTCAGACTGGGCGTTGGGCTTTGGGAAAGCCAGTGCGTTAGACCTTAAACTTGGGTGAACATGGAACATGTACCGCTGTTTCTGAAGGTTGTTTCTTGTTGCTTTTGGCTGGCTATTCCTTTCTTAGTCTTCGAATGGTCTGACTGGGCATGGACTGCACGTTCCTTCTGCGTTTTGGACGGATCCAAGACCAAGACGTCCCCAAACCCTCATCCGACCCAAAGTGCAAATATGTGTGTGTGATGTTGAACTAGAAACAGACCCTTTGGTGCGTGTCATGTGCATTGTAGGACTTGTGTCACCAGCAAACTGTTTGATGGAGCCCATGTGTAGAGGAATCTGCTTTTGGGCGGCCTGCGTTTGGGTTCCTTGCTAGTGCGCCGGGTAGTGACTAATGATCCCTGAGTCTGAGCTCCGTGAGCTGTCTGGGCTCAAACCACCCCTCAAGCCAAAACCCCTGGCCTTTGTTCAGCTTCCCTCTATTTGGTGGTCTGGATTAGTGGTTGGGTTGAACAATGGAATGGTTTCCCATCTGCCCTCTGCAAGAAGCAGGGGTTCAAATCACCAAACCACCTCATGTATTGTTGCATTCCTTCCGTCTTGAGCACCCTCCCACCTAACCCGGAGCCTCTGCTTCCGACGGGTCGTAAGATATCAAAACCATCTGTCTGAACATCAGAAAAGCGGCAGAGACTGATGAAGTCCAAGCTGAGCTTGAAGATATCACACTTTGCAAACGCGCCAAATATTGGGTCTGAATTTTATTTCGGCACCCTTGGAAATCAAACGGGGAAAGAAAGTCCACCCACCACGCTGTTTTTAGGTGGTTTAGGGTTTAGGGTTTAGGGTTTAGGGTTCCTTATTTAAATTTCATGGCCAGTAGTTGCTGGGATTTTCCCGTCAAAAGGGGTCTCTCCCTCCCTTGGCTCACCCGAGCACCGGGCAATCAGCTCCAAGTCTCGGCCTCGAGGCAAAAGATTGCCACTTGGCGCTTTCCCGGGATCTGTGGTCTTTTTGTTGGTTTTTTTTTGTGGTTATCGTTTTTGTTTGTGGTTATTGTTTTTTGTTTTTGTTTTTGTTTGGTGGTTGTGAGTCGTTTTTTGTTTCCTGTTTTTTAGTGATTGTTTTGGGTTGTTTTGGGTTTGTTTTGTGGTTCTTGTGTCATCCAAACTGGCGGCTAGAAATCGATCACCGAATCCAGTTCCGATGCCCGGGTGGGCACTCCACGTGTGCCGGAAAGGTGTTGGTTGAACCGTCCGAAGAATTTTGACCAAGAATGGCCATGGGTCAAAAGGAAAATCGTTAGCCCCCAGTGAACATCAACCAATCCAACCACTGAAATAGGTCCTACAATGGGTGGTGAATTCACCTACCAACCAAAATATGGATCCCATTGGTTTTGACCCACAGCCAAACGGACCCTTGGCTATTGCCCACTGAACCGCAGTGGCTCAGGCCCCGGCGGTAGAGGCTGGACAGAAACCTGAAAGGAGAAGCCAGCCCACGGGCCCCCAAGGTGACTACGGGGTATCAACGCAGCCCTAAGAAAATAGATGCCGGGCTCAATGCGCCAAACATGCTCGTGGCGAAATACCTCAGAACCCTTTGGTTGTCTAGTTTCTAGGGGTCAACACCGTCTGAAGAGAACCCGAAGGTGTTTTGACCTGCGCATTGGGCATTGGGCACAAGCCCCCACCTTTGTTGACAAGCATCCGCTCCAAGAGGAGATGAGGAAAGTGGGGGGGGCATTGATTTCAACACACGGTCTTAGCAATTGTTTCAAGACCGACAAGAGCCATGACAGGTCATTCCCATCCATCAACAAACATGTAAGCACCAACCTCCTGAAACAAACAATGCTGCTTTGGGGTAAAGCCGCCATGCTTTTGAGAATCTGCGTCCGCACTCTGTCCTCCCGCTCTTCCTCCCCGCCGCTCAGTCCCCGGCGAGTTGTACTTGTCGTTGAAGTTGGCACCCATCATGTGCGGTGCATACCTCGTAACCGCACTCTTGAAAAGCTGGCTCCATGACAACCCCTGATACATTGCCCAAGCACCCCAGCGGCAAACCTGCTGCAAAAGTTGGGCCCGGGCCAGGGGGTTCACAGGGCTCCTCGTCTGTCCCGTTTCGGGTGGCTTTCACATCACCGGTTGGTTGCCAATGCTGAGGGGACATCGCCCTGAGGGAATCCGGGAAAATGTCGGAAGCCAACCTAGTCGCAGCGAAAGCAAGACATGTGCTTGGGAAGTCCTTCGTTTCCAGCTCTTCGAAAAAGGAAGCCCAAAAAGAGAGGTTCTATATTCGGAAAAAGAAAAAAGCACGAGTCTTTTCGCATGCTAAAATACAGCTTGGATCCCCTAGAAGAGGACAACAACATCATGGCAGGTCCTTCCCTCTAGCAGAGTTCGCCACCAAAATGTCGGGTTGGGCCAAGCCATTTCCCATGAACCCATGCCCCACATAGGGACATGGAAGACGAAAGCTTGCCCCAAGGCAGGGGAGGAAGGGTTGCCCCAAAAAAAAACAAGCCATTACCCCTAAACCCTTGCGCTAATTGGAGAAAGCTTGCTTCACGGAACCCACAGAGACTTCCGCCACTTCAGCCAGGACTTCGGTGATTTCGGTGGACTTCGGCCCCGGCTTCACGGCCTTCAGCCCTGCGAGGTCCGTGATACCTGACAGCTCCAAGCGCCCAAATGCCCGAGTTGTCGTCTCAGCAGATATCAGAGCTACGGCGGATGCGCAAAAACACGAGAGTAGGGAACAAGGGAAACCCTGTATATTCCCGTTTGTGTTTGGTTTACTGCAATATTTAGGGCATCCCCCGTATCACCTCCTTTCGTGAAGATAGACAACATCTGTGCGGCTTGGCTCTTGTTGGAGGTTGCAAGGGTTGTGAGAATGAACTGGAAGGGGATCCCCTTGAATGAAAGCACAAGAGATGGATATAGAATGCATTCCCTCGGTCTGTGAGAACCAGAAAGAAGGCGTAGGGGGTGACTTGGTGCCCCGAGCCTATCTATCCTCCAACCAAAAGGAGGAAATGGGTTGCCATATACGAGACTTCCCCCGAATCCGATTGTTTCAATGGGCTAGGGAATTAGGAATCTTCAAGATTGGAGCGAAATTGTAGACAGTTAGTTGGCTTATTCACCTAAGGCAAACATCCCTCAGAGGGCTGTCTCGGGAAACAGGACTTGACGGTTTCAACGTTTGGTCTCCTCTGACTCCAAAAGGAGCTTTTCTCTCGCGAGGTCCTTATTCCATGGATTGGGTCACCAGCCCACAGGAAGTCAAACCAAAGAGCAGCCTCAAGTCAAGAGAGGGTTTTGCCATTTTCTCAAGATCGGAACTCATAGGATGTCAACTCAACAAAGGGTCCTTCGAATTTTGCAACAGTCTAACAAAAATCCCCAACATCCCTGAAGTCTGCCTGGAATCCTCCAGTCCAAAACCCGGCAGCGATCCGAACCGCTGTCGCGGTCTTGAACCTTCACCATCTATGGAAAACCGAGCAGCTAAAAAAAAAACACGAAGTCGCGTCGTGAGCTGCTTGAAACAAATAGTGAGAATCCAGGATGAACAAAACCCTAAATGATGTTAATGGGGGGTGCTTTATGGGGCTCCTCCGCGTTGGGGGAAACGTTCACCCCCGACCCGCGGGGTCTATCAACCGTCGGCATTACAGCCAAAGTGAGTAACAATCAGTTCGCCTGCCCAATAGGCACCCAAACTTTGGAGATGAAAAACCGGGACATGGGTGGGACATCCCCATCTCCGATGGGTTGGTGTGGTTGAGGGTCAAACCCGCCAAAATCCCAACCGGGGTGCCAGATTCCACGAGCTACCATTCTTACTTCATGCTCTCGAAAAAGGATGTGAGTCTCAACTTGGGACCCTTCGCATCAAAACATTTAAGGTGGAATCGATCCCTCCATTTTCAAAGCCATGAACGGACGGGTGCTCTGTGACCCTGGGCTGATGTTGGAGCTGAGTTTTGGTGGAATTGATCCCTCCATTTTGAGGGACTTCAAGAACCACGAACGGAAGGACCAAGCGCCATGTTTGAAGAACAAAACACATCGCGAGAGAGACCGGCAGCTCTGTGAGCCCGGGCTGATGTTGGAGCTGTTGCTGGAATTGCCGCTCACGAAGACGCACTCGGGGTTCGCCTCGAAAGCGAAGCCGACCAATCCAGCCGACAAAAAAAAAAGGAAAACCCGGGAGACACGCAAGTGCCTGGAGTCTGGAACTAGCGCACTCTCGAAATCGCCCATATCATGTCCCAGTTTGAGACAGGAAGTGGTCCGCAAGCAAGAAGGTTCAGCACCAAAACCTGTGAATGCGGAATCCGAAGCTCCAGAGGCAACATCTTGGGGTTGAACACCACCAGTCCCGTTTTTCGCCCTGGGCTCAAATGGATGGACGCTGCGAGTACCCATTTCAGGTTTTCCCAGAAGACATACCTAAATTGACGAGTTGCTCCTGCTGGGCATGCTCATCCCCAACCCAGGCATCAATAACACCTGCGTATATGAACGGCCACTTGCATCTCACACGATCTTGCTGAAATGAGTTACGATCATCCCCACGCGAGAATGTGGCACATCGGGGAGATCTCCTAGCTTTGCGCAGTTTGAGGAAAGGAAACCGGATATGCAACTCAGCTTCCTGTAACTTACTCCTTGGTGGTTGGGGGGTGGACCAACTGCTTCTTGGAGATGAAACCACTTCACTAAGTGGGGCAAGATCTCTACATCGGTGCATCTTTGTTTGAGAGTACACTAACAGGGGTGTCGCACATCAGAACTTCTCTGACCATGCCTTGGCTCGAGTTGTTGTCTGTTGCTTGTTTGCAGTTAGAAGGAAACAAGATTGAATGAACCTTGCAACCCTTCCCGCAAACAGCAAAAAGCCGGGTCATGCACAAGAGGTCACTGTACTTGCTCTTCCGCCTTTGCATGGCAAGGTTGCTCCTTCCAAAACTGAAACATGAGCAAATCTTATGGATAAAAACCTCAAAGCTGACATTTACATATGTTTCGCTCCTGGTCAAAAAAAACTCGTTTCTCCAAAAGGACGTGGGAAGATATGGATAGGCCCTTAGGCTTGTTGTGAAAATTGAGGGACGGTGCATGTCCTCCAAAAACCCGACAGCTGACTACCACAAAACATTGTCAGCTACTCAATTAGGGTATGTATCAAAATAGGGGACGATTAAAATGGACGTTCTCCTTTTGGCTTCCCAACAGAACCAGCAAGGGCGCCGAGCCTCCAAAAAGTCACCTCCAAAAAGTCACGGACCCCGACCAGAAACTCCTTCCTTGCTATCCCCCTCCTTGCCTGGGCAGCGGCATGCGTCAGCATGCTCGCGAAAAGGGCGGCTTTGCACAGAGCCTGGGCCCCGAGGCGGCCCTTCCAAACATGGACGCCACCCCGTGTCCCAACCAAAAAGGTACCTGGACCTTCAAACTACCCTGAAAAAATCGTGGAAAAATGAGAAAAGGAGAAACACAACTCCGAATGATTCAAAATGCACCGAACAACTCTCGTTCAGTTTGCAGTAGGCCATCCCCAACTGTCCAATTGTTTCCAACAAACAGCTTCTACCCTAGCAGAGGGCGCACCTCCAATTCCGGACGGTTTCCTGGCAAGATGCACCGGAGCCTTGGGAGCCAACCCATCAGCCGGAGTTCGTGTCGAATCAAACCAAAAGCGAAACGCGCCTGCATGCTCTTCATCAGGCCGTGCAACGAAGAACCTGCCTGCGCGGAGAGACGCAGCGCCCAAGAAGAACAGGAGACCCAATCCCTGGAGCCTTTCTTTCAGAAACGGACTCCCCCAAAACAAGAAAGAGGATCTTCCAGGGATCCTTGCTTTCACAACAGATTCCCAAAAACAACACCCCGATATTCATGTCGGTGGTGGCTGCGTCAAAACAAGGACACTCTCAAAACTGGGATTGGCATTGTTTTGATGTTCAAACAGCTTCCCGAGCCTATCCTCTGCTTTTGTGCTGCGTTTTGTGCGTTTTTCACTCGGCAGCTTCCGGCTGGCATGCGAAAGGCGGCGTTTTGGACTCTACGGGTTCGGATTCAGATCGAGCCATCGTCGAAGGCCGTAAGGTCAAATATGACTAGGTCCTCCAGTAGAGAGGTTAGAATAAGTTGGTACCAACGTTTTTTAGGTTTAGTCTATCTTAGTGGGGGAACCCTCCCCAAAACAAGGGGGCAAAAGGGCACTACTGGCAAACCTACATGATCACTTGAAACCACTCTTTGGTTGCAACCATGGATCGAGCACCTTCTTTTTCTCAACATGGCCAAGTCGCCGCAAGAAATTTGCTTCAGCGAATCTTTTTGCGGGTACCCTTTTGGGGGACCAATTTGATTTCAGAAGGGGGGCTCCACTAGCCGCCCGGGCGATCGCGATCCCGCGCCTTAGGCATCGGATCTGAACCGCCCAAACGGACCTTCGCCGGGGATGGCTTCGGCTTGAAGCGAGCCGTTCCCCCCCATAAACAAGAGGAATTCGGGGAATGAGATGGACCAATTCGGGCACTTCCAGTGCTTCTTCAATTTTCCCGCGCACAAAAAGGGGAAGGCGTGAATGTTTGTTTCTCTTCCTTTTTTCAGGCCCAAACCTGCCTTTTTCGCGATGGGAGCACACCATGGCTCCGCGCTTAAGAAAACCAGCCGCTCCAAACGCTCCAAAAACCGTGTTCTAAAGAGCCAAAGGGTCCGCATTGGGAGTCTAAAAAAAGAAAAAACTTCTTTTTGGACAAAGCACAGCAGTACAGGGTCGCGTTCAAAATTGGGTGCGGATTTAGGTTGGGATTTGTGTTTTTTTCAGGCCAGTAAAATATCGTATTCTACAGCATTGTCTCACGAAAGAAACGCATTTTGCACTACGTAGCCCGTCAACATCCCCAGCATCGTTTTCAACATCCCCCGCATGTCCGACCAACATCCCCAGCATCCCCAACAAATCATGGGTAACAAAATCTATCAAGTAGCTGGGGTCAAAACAATGATGATTCAATCCCTAAAAAAAAAAAAAAGTAGCGGGGGGGGGGGGTTGGGGGGGCCCCCCCATGATGTTCGCAGAAGTGATGATTCGATTCGAATAGGGGTGCAATTAAATCTCTGCAAAATGTCTAAAAAGTAGGGGAGGCAGCCCCACATGATCCCCACGATGTTCGAAGAAGTGATGATTCAAACACGGGTGCAATGATTCAAGAAAGGGTGCGATAGAATTTAAAAGGCAGCGGGAGGGTTGGCGGGGGTGGCTTCCCCTATTGCATAGATTACCTAAAATATCGTATTTTACAGCATTTTCTCGTGAAATTAGATGCTCGAAAAAGTGATGATTCAAGTAGGGGTGATTAAATTAAATCTCTGCAAGAAAACTAAAAAGTAGCGGGGGGGTTGGTCGATTAAAATAGGGGTGCAATTCCCCCCCATGATGTTCGAAGAAGTGGCGATTCTAACAGGGAGGAACTGGTGATGCTGATGATGCGGGAAGCCAAACAAAAACCAATGAAAGGGTGCAAAAGCCAAAAAGAGAGGAACTGGGAAGGCAGAGGGTGCGAAAAGCCAAGCCGCCAAAAGCCGCATAAACCAGCGAAAAGCAGCAAATGCCAAAACGCCACCTGCCGAAGAGAAGCCGAAAAGCCAAGAAGCCGAAAAGCCAAGAAGCCAAGAAGCCGAAAAGCCAAGAAGCCAAAAAAAAAAAAAACTCCTTACAAATTGGTGAATCCCTAAAGAACCGTCGGCGGCCCGAAGCCAAGAGGAAGCTCTTCTGCGCTTGGCAAAAAAAGTGAAATTTCGCATCAGCTGGGTTTTTGTTGGCCCTTCACGAGGGGTTCGTCCTCAAAGTGGGGAACCCAATTTTTGCATGCTGGTTTTGATCAAGGCAACGGGTGTCTCGCGCGAAATTATCGAGAGCCCGAAAGGGAAGGCCTCCCACCAAACTCCCGGCGAACATCGACATGTCGGGATCGATCCCGAGGCCCCACGCACCAGAACCTCTTTTCCTGACCGAGCGGCTCGTCCTTCGACTTGTAATTCCGCCAAAAGCTGTTGGAAGCTGGTCAGGGGCAACTGACCGCAAAAACATGCGTATTTTGACTGGCAAGAAACATGGGGACAAAAGACGATCTGCGGTGAGGTCATGAGTCAACCACAGTTTCCCAGTGTTCGACTTTCACAAATCCCCGAAAAATCAAAATCATCAGCCCCAGTCCATACTTAAACGAGTGCGAGTCGACTACAAAGCGAATGTCTGCAGCATCGACAGCCTTTGCTTCCGAAAAAAATATGTCCCCAACAATCAAGAAAGTGGAAGAATGGTTCTTTCAAGGGGATGGTCCTTTTCACCAAAACACCCTTCGATCCTCCTGTTCCATTGTTGGATCGCCCGGAACTTTTTCCCCTCGCCCTTGACCCCGTGTCAACTAGGGTACCCGTTTCGGTTGCTGGCGTATGTCCGCAAGGCAAGTCTTCAGCTGGCAAGTCTTTCAGCTGGCAAGTCTTCCCGGATTGACCCCCACAAGAAACAATGTCACTCAAAACCCCATCACCAACACAACGGCTGCATGCCAAAACAGGAAACCTTTCCGGGCAGAGCTTAACAAGCGAGGCAACATGCTATCTTCAAGGCATCCCCAAGCGGGCAAAGCTCACCTTATTGCGTTCCGCCTGCTTGGTCACTTGTTCAACTGTGGCAGAATGCTCCCGTGCCAAGAATCCTGAAAACAACACCGATTTCACCCGCCTGAAACCCCCCCCCCCAACACCAACACAAACTACTCTGGAAGAGGCCTGGAAAGAAAAGGGATTGTAAAAGCATAAGGTTTGGGTTGAAACCATCCTCAACGGACATTGGCTCAAAAGCCCTTCACTGCCGAGGAACCGTATGGCTCCGCCGCGGGCACTTGATGGCACGCGGACAAAGCTGGAGGCTGGCGCGCCGCTGAAGTTGTCTTGAACCAAAAGAATGCCAAGCCACACAAGCTACAGTTAAAATCAGTTGTTCCCCCACATGAACTTGGAACAGCGATGCGCTGCGAAAAAGTCGAGATAAACGCTGGCCTGCACTCCATGTCAAGCCAGTGTGCATGTTTGATGCTGCGGGGTAACATCGAGCCTTTGTGGCGCCCGCAAGGCAGTTTTTTGCTTAAATGATCAAACCACGAGTCCGAAGTCTGGGTTCAGGGCTGACACGCACACTCCCAGTGCACATACACCCAAACATAAGCAACGCACAACACAGAAAAAAACAAAGAACTGGAGCGCCTGCGTTTGGACAATTTCCCTTTGCCCGCTAGTTCCTCAAAACTGGCAAACTCACCCCGACTTTGCAATCGTGGGACGCTGCTAATTGAAATTGGGTTGTTTAAGGTCAATCCTTTTGCGAGATGGTACTGGCTGGTGGTGTCCCGCTTCGGATTACGATTCGGATTGGGGGTAGCCCAAGCTTACCAGCAGCCTATGGTTCGGGAGGGATACGCGGGACGTGCTAAATCTCCCAAAAGAACCAGGCGACTCACACGCACACGCACACGCACACGCACACGCACATCACACTTAGACTCCCAAGGGAGAAATCAGATCTGTCGAGTACAACTGATGAGTCTCGAGTGGGTGGGTTTTCGAGTGGCAACACCGATGGCTTCCCCCTAGTATCCAAAACGCTACAGGATTGAACATGAAGCACACACAGCGAGAGAAACATCGGGCCATAACGACTTTGTAACACAGATCAGCAGGTACACGGGTTGGCGTCCCAAACCGCATCACGGATATTCCACAGCCGTCATCGTTGGCAGTAGGACTGTGGTCTCCTACTGCCCCCTGCTTCAATCCGAAAAGAATCGTATCCATGGAGAAAAGGTGGTGTCAGGGTTGACCTGACACTCCGCACACACACGCCCCTCAATGAGGGGCGAACGACTCGTTTTCCATGGAAGATGCAGTCCACTCACAGCGAACCTAACACCGACCAAAAGGTCCCGAGCGGTGCGGGGAACGTGAACTCACGTCCAACACTCAAAAGCTCACAAAAAAAAAAGGTCAGCAAGATCACCATGTAGTGACACAGACGCTGATGATCCACAAGTAATGAGCGTCTGCATCATTGTGGGAAAGACCAATGATCATCGGCGGGGAGTGGCTGATGAGGAGTTGTCGACAGCTTGTGGAGCGCCGTGCGCCGCATTGAGGTCCTTGACAAGGAGAAGAGCTGCCTGGTCCCGGGAGTAGTGTCATTGATGGCAGCAAGGTGAGGAAGAAAAGGATTCACTCCGAGAAAGAATCCGCTACATGAACAAGAAAAGAGGGCGAACCCAAACGAATTCCCCAATTACAGGCAAGGCACATGCAGGTATAACGAAGGGGCCAGGCACAAACATGGCTTAGCCATGTGTTCCCACATGCCCCATTTTGCCGCAAGACGCGAACATTAATTTCTCTTTTTGTGATTCGTTCGTTCTCGAGCCACACCTATGAAGAATCAGTAATCACCTACTAAGAACCTCAACTGTCGGTAGGAAAAGGAAAGCGAGCACATAGTTTATGAAACCAGATTGTTAAGGCATGTTGCACTGCTCCTATCTTGAACCCAAACCAGACCACCCGAAAGAACAAAGCAAGTCCGACGCGGCCGCAGTTCTTTTAACCGGGATTGCTGAAAGTAGCACTGCTTCCAGGGCACGGATGCGCCTGGAGCAGGAGGTGCGTTGACCGCCCGTGAAACTTGAAGGCAAGACAATGCGTGCCCTTGCAAATGCGTGCAGTGCGTGCGTGGCGTGGCAGGCGTGCCCACGCCGGTCCGGAGACCTAGTGGTCCGGAGACCGTGAGCGGTCCGGAGACCGAGAGGTCCGGAGACCATGGCCTTGTATAAGGCACTGCAGGGTGGGTGGGTGGGTTTCAAATGAAACAGCAAGTTTGGGTCATCAAGGCTAAAACGGCCACCGCGTAGGTAGATTCACAACATGCCCAAAACACAAGGGAAAAGAAAACCCTAAGCGTTAAGGCATGTTGCACTGCTCCTATCTTGAACCCAAACCAGACCACCCAAAAGAACAAAGCAAGTCCGAAGCGGCCGCAGTTCTTTTAACCGGGATTGCTGAAAGTAACACTGCTTCCAGGGCACGGATGCGCCTGGAGCAGGAGCAGCGCAGGCCGTTGAGGAGACGGCGGCCGTGGCTGCGGAGGAGGGCAAGGTTGCCGTTGGTGCCGCAGAAAAGCTCCAGGAGTCTTGGCATTTTTAAAGAGCAAGATCACCGCCAGTGCGACGACCAAGAAGACTCGCGCGTTCATCGGACCGGACTTTTTTCTCCGCGAGATAAAAAGCCGAACTTCGCAAGAGGCTTGCACTCGGGGCTGGACGTTCAGACCATGCCAAGGGGGGAAAATTCATGTCCATAGAGGACGCGCGCTGGTGCGCAAGGTGGACGTGGAGGGCTGTGGGAGCCCGGCAACTTCCAGGACGACGGGGCCAAGAGGGTGGGCGTGTGCTTTGCGAGCAACACCGACCTGGAGCTGTGGACGGATGGGTGGAGCAGGGCGTCATTGACAACATGATCGTCTTCCAGAAGCCCTTTCGGGGGCCGCCCGCACCGAGCTTGAGAGCCAGCTGTGACGCGGTTGTGGAGGGTGAGCCCCTGGCAGCTGGCGTAGGTCACTGCGTGGCTCGGCCGGGTGGCCCGCAGCAGCTCCTGGTTCTTCAGCCGCACGCCGTTGTCCAGGCTCCACTTCCGCCACGGCCACAAAGACCCCCTTGCTTGGGTGTCTTTCCGCCGGCCCCGATGAGGCACAGCCCCGGCCACACCCTCATGCTCTGCGGGCTGTTGGCAACACCCATTGGTTGGTAAATCTATGTGGACTCTCTCTTTAGAGGGGGTTTCCCAAATGGATTCTATTCTACCTGAGAGGCTCCTGGCACTCGTCCGTCCAGCATTTGACCTCGTCCTGCGAAGGATTCGAAGTCTAACGCTGCGCGCAGGCGTGTGGCTGCAAAATAATGACCCCTAGATATGCTTGCAAAATGCCCAGCAGCTGCGTTTCTGCAAGGCGAGCTAAAAAAAACAGGGAAAAAAAAGAAAGCCAAGCCAAACCAGCCAGAAAGCCAGCCAGGAGCCAAGCCAAACCAGCCAGGAGCCAAACCAAACCAGCCAGAAGCACCAGCCAGAAGCCAAGCCAAGCCAGCCAGAAAGCCAGCCAGAAAGCCAGCCAGAAGCCAAGCCAAGCCAGCCAGAAGCCAACCAAAAAGCCAGCCAGGGTTTCCTTTGAGGGCGCTCGCCTTGCAGAAACAAAGGCAGCTGCTGGGCATTTTGCCAAACCGCATATCTAGGGGTCATTATTTTGCAGCCACACGCCTGCACGCAGCGTTTTAGACTTCGAATCCTTCGCAGGACGAGGTCAAATGCTGGACGGACGAGTGCCAGGAGCCTCTCAGGTAGAATAGAATCCATTTGGGAAACCCCCTCTAAAGAGAGAGGTGCTATGTTCTGTGTTCGCGCTTTCGCGCGGCGCAGTCTGCAGCTGTCGCAGCAGTCGCTGCGCAGTTCGCGCAGTTCGCGTCTGCGGAACTCCACGCGGGCACATGAGTCCTACATGAGTCCTACATGAGTCCTACATGAGTCCTACATGAGTCAACAATGCCCGGCATCGAAGCCACCCTGCCGCACCACCTGCCCGGCATAGAAGCCTCCCGGCCGCACCACCTGCCCGGCATAGAAGCCTCCAGCCTGCCGAGCCTGCACCACACCGAGGTCGGAATTCCGACTTCGCTCGTCCACCGAGGTCGGAATTCCGACTTCGCTTTTTTGCCCGAAAAACCCATCACCGGGCCATCGCCGGAGGTCCGTCAGCGAGGCTGTCCTCGCGGGTGCCACTGACAGAGTGTTTTTTCACCATTCACACGCCCAGCCGTCAATCCTGGCGTGGGCACAGGATTGCCCCACTCAATCCTGGCGTGGGCACAGGATTGCTCCACTCAATCCTGGCGTGGGCACAGGATTGCCCCACTCAATCCTGGCGTGGGCACAGGATTGCCCCGGTGTCTTCCAGAAAACTCTGGAAGCGCGTCTCTACACAGAGACGCACTCCCGGACTCGCCGCCCGGATTGCCCTGAAAACACCGTCTGCGTCCTGCTGTGTAGCAGTGCGGAAAAAACTCCGGCTGCGATGCCGTAAATATGGCATTTCTCCCGGACTCGCCGCCCGGCTTCCCGGCTTCAAATTTGGCAAGCAACGCAAAGGAAATGGGGAAGATCAAGCTGTTTCCTACGACAGAGTATAGCAGCAAACAAGCCTCTGACCCCGTGGTGCCCCTGGCGCCATGCGCGGGCATCCATCTTCCTCGGGCCATCAAAATCGGGCAAAACCGTGGCTCTGATCAGCCTGATTCTGGAGCAGTATCGCGGCGTCTTTGAAAAATTTACGTCTTCAGCCCGAGTGTCAACATAGACGACGGCTGGATCCCCGTCAAGAAGTACATTGAGGAGGACCTGGGGGTGAACACAGAGCGGGAGCAGACGTATTGGGACGAGTGGGACGAGGCGGCGCTGCGGCGCATCATCCAGCAGCAGCGCAAGATCACGGAGGCGTCCAAGAAGTTGGAAATGAAGAAACTGTACCAGGTGCTTGTAGTCATCGACGACTTTGCTGACACGCCGCAGCTGCACAAGCCTCACGGCGCCCTGGACACTCTCTTCATCCGGGGCCGGCACATGCAGATCAGCACCTGGGTGAGCTCGCAGAAGCTGAGGCTCATCAGCGCAGCCGTGCGGGTGAACATGCAATTCCTCTGCTGCTGGAGGCTGCGCAACCAGCACGAGCTGGACGCCGTTATTGAGGAGCTCAGCGCCCTGCTGCCGAAGGAGCAGCTCTACCGGCTGTACGAGCAGGCGACGCGGGAACCTTACAGTTTCCTGTTCGTCTACTACCTGAAGCCGAGGAACGAAATGTTCTA